ACCAAGTCAAGTTGTTATGAATCAAATCCGACCGGCAAAAAACATTAAATTCCAAATGCTTTGGATTTGAAATGCTGAATTTTTGGTTATTTAAACAAATAACAAGATGGTAGATTAAGTTCGATTGCAACCGTTCTTGGCTTAGAGTAAATTAGAATTTAGGTAGGGATAAATATAATAATTGCAAGCTTTAATAAATTTGCTCAAGCCTGATTCAGTTTATTTCCTACTGGATAATTGCACTTAAAAATCACCCAAGGTTAGGCTGCGAAGACAAACGGTTCCACATCTACATTCGCCTATTTAAAGGGAAACTATTGAAAGCTTGGATGATCACACCATAGCTTGAAGCCAACTTCCCAACTTAATTGGCCTGGTTGAAATGTATGATTTCATTAAGCAAGTGAGATGTGTGAAACACGTTGCAGCATAAAGAGACAATCAAATTCTGACAACCAGAGAATCAAAACTCCTTCTACTTCGGAAAACATTTTTAAACCCGAAATATTTAGCGCATTTGAATCTGGAACACCACTACTACTGCAATTCGAAATACAGAGGCAGAATTGGAAAGAGGAAAATCTCGGGTTAGTCAAGCCACTGTGGCTGCTTGCCTCCACAAGTTGACATACGACCACACCAACTGATTTATTACTGCCGTGCGCGATTGCTTTTTACTCATTTGCTGGCTCAGCTGTCTATTGTTGCATGTGACTCCTCCCAATGTAGAAATGCAAAAAACAGGATGTGGTCAGTATCGGCGACCTCTTCTTCTTTGTGCCTCTCTCTACTTCTTCGACATGCGTGCTCTTGGTAAGTGCGCCTTTGATTTTTTTCCTTGCTGCACTACCAGCCCCGTCTTTGCAGTAATCATTATGAGAAGACGAAAAACTATCGCGTATCGATTCACCTCCTTCTTTGAGAGGCATTATATCAGCCAAAAGCAGACATATCAAGAGAGTTATGTGACGAACCTTTACCACAAAGGCAAATTTGTTCGACGACATTTACTAACTCCCAGTATCCCAAATTTCGCAATCTACGTTTCTTTCCGTGAATAGGTTTCGCCAATTCATCTGAAGAATGTGTTTACAGAAAGTCCTCGTTTGTTTGTCAACCAAACCTATTGGCAAAAAAAGTGATGGGCTTGCGCATATCGTACACAGGAATAGGTAAAAAACTCATGAAGCAGAGCCCTTCTTGAGGAGAGGCCCTTCTTTACGAATGACTCGTCCTTATGTAGTTACGCAATGAGTGTAGGGCTAAAAAGTAAATGCTTACAAATTTTCAGCCAATAATTTATGCACATCTACACACTTGGTGAATCAAGTTTTGCAAAGAGAAGGCTTATAACGAATGAAATTTGTTCGCACGCTACTGAGTTAAGCAAACCGTTTTATTGTGACAGTCAACCACCTAGCTGTCAGAACCCCTGATGCTGAGCAATCCATCACGGCAAAGAAAACTGCCTCAACACCTGACACTTTGCATGCCCGCTCTTGCTATTTTAATCATCAATGAAGTGTATTAAGGAATTAAGTTTGATTAATTCGGGAATTGACTCCATTTTTCTGTAAAAATCGGCAAATGCTCTACCCACAAAGCATACGCCAATAAAACTACATTTGAACTCACCAAACGTTGGCGTTTGAAATAGAAAAAAAAAATGAATTTGAAGGTGCAACTCACTAACCAAAAAAACGAAAGCAAATTGCGAGATAATATTAGCGGCAGGATTGATTGGCTTGGCAAAAATGCACACGCGAAAACCTACAAGTTCTTCGACTTCAAATTTCTTTCGAACTTATTGCATTGAAAAAAAAACTATAAATGTTCCCAAGATCCCATGCATAACGCAGATTTGTGTTAAGCGCAATAAAACCGCCAGATGGAGCGTGAGAACTGTTGGACAATGGTTAAAGGCGCCATTCATCTGATTTAACCAGTTCAAAACCAAACATGCAGGTGCACCTCAGGTAAGGTAATGGCCCAGTCTCTGCCATCGTACTGCTTCGCTTATCCTCCCGAACCTCCAAAAACTGGTCCATATCCTTCGTGGGAGTGAAGGTATCTGCCTAGAGAGATGGGCAAGTCGTTCCTGAACGGGTATAAAACATGACATTGAATACCTGCGCAATTTCGGTAACTACATGGGAGGTAGTGTTGAAACAACTACAGATTTAAAATTAAAAACTTAATTTATTTGAAAGCACACGTTTCTGATCGAAAAATGACTTGCTCGGCAGCATCTGCAACTATCAGAAACATGGAAACAGAGTGACTCAAATGAACCAAACCGACAAACTATTCGCCTCAAAGGTCATGCTTTCGAGTAATACTACATTTATTCCCATAAAATAGGTAACTTTCCTTTAGAGGTGGTCAAAAGAAGACTCTTCTCAAAGGAAGTAATCTTGTGCGACTATTCGTCAACAGGAAAACGTAAAATTTGTTGTGGGTTATAAATCGACAAATTCTACTAATTCAAGCATTTAACACTTTGCAACAACTGGACCACTGTGCCTACAGACGTTCTACTTGAATGAATAAGTAGGGATAAGCGCATCAGTTATGTAAGCTAAGCGATCACAAACCGCATACAAATATCATCACACGTGTGAAAACTTAGGAGCCGCTGTCCGATTTTTTATGCAATGTGTTGAATATTGGCAAGATTCGGTCTCAACATCTTGGGATTCACTGCGCAAGACTAGAACTTTGCTTTTACAAACCAAAGGCAAAGCGATGAGGTGACTGCGTGCTTGAAACCAAAACATCGACTATTTTTGCGTGCATAAACAGCTGGGGCATTGAAGGCTCAGTGTAGGCATCCCGTTTAGTTAACTAGTTTAATAAGATCTGCAAATAATCACAATACATTGTTGGGAAGAAGGACGCGGCACAAGCACCTATGGTTAATTATCTGAAGGAGGTAGAATGAAGACATTAAACCAAGTGTATGAACGCTACTTATACCGAACCTGTCATTTAATTGGTCCCCTTCTTTCGAGTTATGTAGCTGATGCATAAAACCAGTTAAGCACTTCATGTAATCTTGAACTTTGACCATAACAATAATCCAAGAAGATCTGGGCAATGAACAAAACCACGATGCAAAAATCGGTAGTTAAGGTGTCGGAAATATGGCCATCTTCCAAATTTTAAAACTTAAATTTTTTAGAACTAGAATATTCAGAGGAGTGCCATCCGTTTTCATAAATCCTTTACTAAGCTCCGGTGCTGGAAATAACCTCTTTATACCACATCTGATTGGACTTCATCTTTCAAGAAGAAGAATAAACTCTGCGTAGTATAGGGCATCACGTTGGGCAGAATACCTGTACAAGGGTAAAACGAATGCCGAAGCAACCGCCGGACATCAGGCAACCACCTAAATAGAGCATAACACTACACTTAAGCCCTCAGCGCATGGCTTGCACTATAAAAAGTGCTCTCGATTTGAGTTTTTTGGCATTTGGTGGGATTGATCGATTGAAAAATACTTTTCATGTTCATCCCTGTGACCTATTAGACTCATAAAGCAACTTGACCTACGGTTCGGCAGCGTACAACTCAACTTCCTGCCGCATTTTTTAAGCTATAGCAGTGTATAAGGGTTTCGGGTCTGGAAAAATGAAACAATAATCTCATATCCAAGAAGCGTGGAAGTTATGCAATCAATTTCCTGGTCATGACAGACGCTCATGATTATGCTGAAAATCTGCCCAAACCTATGTTAGCTGGACGAACTGCCGTGATCACTGACTGCATGCACAAACAAAGAAGGCTCCCATTGGCTCTGCTGTAGTATCTCGGTGCTCAATGATTTACTCTTCGTTTTTTGGACCTTGAACAGCAACCGAGGTGGTTAGTGTGACGAAATGTGCGCAATGCGAGAGCGCATTGCTAAAAAAACCCGGAAAATCTAGTGATGCCGTGTCGATGAAGGAATATTAGTGAATACACTAATAGGGAAGTCCGTGCTTCCAATGCAAATAATTGTGTGCATTTTCATAGGCTTGATTTCAAAGCTAACACATGAATAAAAGGTCGAAATGGGGACAACAAAGCAGACGTGTTCAGATCCACACCCTTAACAGTTCCCATCAAATATGCACGAGTAGCTACAATCTATCCTGCGGAAACAAATGCAACACTTCCATCTGTGGAAGGACGATACAAGGTCGCCCTTAGTAATTTTTCGCAAACCGAGTGTAAAGCTCTGTAAGTGCTAATAAGAAGCAGACTAACCAACAGCCAAGGACGGCTGATAAATTAACCCATCGAAAAAAGAAACAGCAAACAATGGACTACCCCATCTCAGACGCTCGAATCCTATGCGTACACCATGAGCTCAAATGTTTTCGAGAGCCAACTGACATTAGAAACATTAGAAGTAAGCTTATTTGCTGTCGCCGCTAAAAAATTAAAGCCAATCAAACGTCATTGTGACAGATGAAGTGAAAAGTAGTTGCATACCACATGTACTCCATTTCAGTAATAATACACACAGCAACCCTCGTACGACGTTTCAAACGGCGAAAGGCTGCCATGAAGTCCGATATCCAATGGAAATACTCAAGCAGTTAAAATTGTCACAAATTAGATGGTCACATACACTATACCTGACGTGTCGGTTTAGTTTCCACCAAGAAACCACAGATAACGCCATGCCAGCAACGAGTCTTATGTGCCTGGTTCCAGTAGGCTGACACACCTGAATCCTCCAATTATTAAAGACAAAGGTACACTGAACAACACCACTGTGGTGAAATTATCGACGTCAAACACCAGGTTGCCCTATTAGGACGCATTCCAAGTGCAAAGCACCACCTAGAGAGCGATCACAGCAGCAAATACACAGTCGGGAACGAACCCGACAGGCAACAAGAAGTTGAGAAAGTTAATATTGTGCTTAAATAAAAGAAACCCCAATTACAAATGTACACAATGCACACAATACATAGCGCCTCTGTAGCGCTTTTGTAATCAGCACTAACTCAGGATGACTCTACTTTCCTTTTCTTCGTTTTGGAAAAACGGCACATAGTTCTCTCGTTGTGCTCGATTGGTGTGCAGCGAGTATACTCGGTGGAGGATTTTTCTTCACACAAATTGGCTTCTTCCGACACGGAAGTGTGAACAACTTCAACAACTGAAGGATCAGCAAGGAGACGTAAAAGGATCGCGGCTCCATTGGACGTTTTTGATTCACAACGAGTTAGACCATGAGAAAGTGCTTGCCAAGGATTAGTTTGTTGCATCGCCAAAGCGCTTCCCTTCACAACTGTAGGGCAGATGGCACAAACCACAGAGGCTACCGCTTGGGGACGTCGCACCTCCCATCCCGTTTGCGCTCCACTGGTAACTACGACAAGACGTGAGAAGTGGAATCGACAAACTGAGTCCAAATGCGTTAACAAAGTCGCAACGGCTATTCGCGCTGAAGGCAAAGCACCTGAGCGGAAAAGTGCAGGAGAAAGGGGGAGATCAAAGTAAACGCCACGCTGAAGGCATTGAGCGCACTGCTTGCTTGTGGGTCGAAAATCACTACATGATGATTGAGCCGGGTTAATCGTGATCAAATCGATGGGTAGTGAAGGAAGACTTTCAGTTACATAGGTAAGAGCAGCTGATGACATTGGTTCAAAGGCAACAACGTCAAATTTGCGAATGCTGTCTTCAAATTCCTTGAAAAAAAGACTAGCTGTGTCAGTTTCAACACAAGTAAGCGTGAGACGGTTGAAAAGGCGCGGCGGAGTTAGTATGGGTAGCTTAGAGGATGAAGATGAACGAAATTGCCTGCTCTGTTCTAGAAGGCTTGTAAGTTCAGAGACAGTAAGTGGTGTCAATTTTTCAGCAAGTGAAGCACGCATCCGTTGTCTATCCTCTTTTGCAGACCTTTTCTTGTCTTTGAAATTAAATTCGTCGACGCTAACCGCAGTGCTGATGGCAATGTAGAGATATTCGCAGTCAAGAAGGCGGGCGATGAGTTCAGGTGAGACGGTTTTACGGGGTACGTCGAGATCGTAATACTTGGAGTCCATTGTGCTGCTTCTTAAATTGATTTAAAAGTATGGATTTTCACCTCAAGCCGTACAAACGCTCATCAGCTAAACAAATGATAGTGTAAGTCCCGTGAAAATGGATGAAAGCTACCGTAGAGCATATAGGATCAAAAACAAGCTTTCAATGAGAAAAACAGCACATCGAAGACGCCAGCAAAGTGTAACGGGACTTCATACTGTGCCACAAATAATAAGTAGAAAAACAAGGTGATAACACTGAATCTAAAAACATATTCGAGTGTCAAGTTGTAGTAAGTATCCACTTTAATATACACCCAATACTTGTAAATGAAAGCAAGAGTGGGTTTAAGAATAAAATGTTAAGTACGCACGCCCTACCCCTCTTGCGCATTAAGAAACAGCTGAAATGTCAAAATGGGAACCCGAGACTTGAGAAGTTTGCCAACAGCAGTGACAAATACCAAGAAATTAGTGCGTAGGAAGTAATAAAAGTGGTACAGAAACACACTATAGAGCCCATATTCGCGACGTTTAAGACGCCTGAGGATGAAGGGATGAAACGCATGAAGATACCTAGCAGCTAAATAACAAGCACGTATAAACACAGAAAGACCGCGTACACCAAACAACGGTCTACCACATATAAACTATAAAAGCACCACTTCTCTTAAACCATTAAAACACAAGCTTAAGAAGAAATTTTAGTTCTTGACATTTTAATTTCAAAGTTTTGAGGATAAAACAACTAAGAAGAAAACCAATTATCAACTTAGCTATAAAGTTGGTGAATTGTAAAATATGCTGCTATTTTAAGAGTTCTAAATGATGCATTTTAATCTTTTTTTAAGCAGCGGTGAACGGCTGGCTTGTTTAGCCTAGTATTAGTTCCGAAATAACATGTTTTTTGCATGCTAGCCAACACGTACATTGTTTCCAGACTTAGGCGGAAAATAACTACTCATAAGTCTCAGCGTGCAGCCGGTTTGGCCCCTCTTTCCTAAGATTTTAACAATAGATTTTCGCGAGCGATGTCTGTTTTGCAATGCTTGATTTAAAAGAACTAAGAAGTGCATAGGAGGCGATGTTTAACTATTAGGGGAAGATGTCTTCTCCCCTGACCCCTCAAAACGGCGTTTGAATTGGGTTTGCGCCTCCGCCTACAAAGAACATCTACACAAAGGTTTTGAAGTTTTATAGCCATTGTTTCACTCCTTGAGCAACCTTCTTACATTCCTGTAGGAAGTGGCTAAATTAGTTGTAGTATGCGGCATTGGTGCAACTCCTTGTTTGCATACATAAAGGCAATATATATGTGAATGACTGATGCAATATCTTGTTGTGTGACCACTGGTATGTCTAGCGGTTGTTTTAATACTCTTTGCGCTTGCGCGCGTTAGTTACAACCAAAGTTTCATCAGTCCTTCTCCTAAAATGCACGCATGCACCACGAATTAATACCCTTTTCTCTATAATGAGAAATCTCAGAATGCCATAACTACACGTAGTGTTGTGGCAAAGTCAACTTAGATTGCCAATAAAATCCAAAATGAAGTACCGAACAAGTGTGTAAAGAAGTGTATGTGTCCTAGACGTCTGGAAGTATGAACCAAATTGTTTGTTAATGCCTTAATAACCACTTAATTGCAGTAGTCTAAGTATAATTGACAAAGAGGATGTGAAACTTTCAGCTGTTCGTTTGACTAAGAGTAGCTGAAGCTGCAGGTAAATAAAACCCTTCTAAAGTCTTCTTCAAAGACAGAGATCATAGCTATCTGCAAATTAGATGATTTGGCATTTGGATGTGCATAGAAATAGGTAAACCTCTTGATCCTAACTAACTGTTCAACCTGCAATAATTTGGTTGATTATTTAACGATACAGATGATCCCCGAGCACATGACATTTGTCGACAATGCCTTTACGAGCTAGTATGACCTCCTGATTTTGCCATTTGTAGCGCTCCAAGACATTTTACTAAATACATGTATTTTAGGTGAAGACAGAGATCGGAATTCAGCTTGGCCTAAAGTTTAGCTTGCGCACGCAAAATCAAAACGAATACTAAAGTAACTGTTAGTCATGCAGGTGGCAATTCATATTTTAGCATACCACTGTCTTAAGGGCAGATTTGAAACCTTATTTATAGTCCTCTTTAAAGTGCATGAAATGGCATAGCAAAAAATATTAAAATAATTAACGCAGCAGCACGGTTTTTTCTCCTGTTATGTGCGACGATCCTTATTCTGGTCAATATGACCTAAACCGACAGAGCTAGCCCTCACGCCAATCTAAGACCCAGGTTCCCTTTCGATGTGCTAAATAATGTAAATTCCCTTGGCCAAAAGGAGGTCTTCTGCAAAAGCTGTCGCTGCACTATTTATGCTGCTTTGAATAACCTTTCTGAATGCACCTGTAGCGTCCCGAGGCTTTCCACATAGCACAAGAAGGCAGAAGATAGAGCTGAGTACATATATTCCAGAATGAACAAAGCATGTAGGACTGAGCTCCATTAGGATGCCAGCCCATGCGTGCGAGTCAGACAATTCTTAAGGGTAACCAACGCGCATTAGATAAACAAAGTATTACGAAACATTTTGCGAGAAGTTAAAATACAATCCACGGAACATATAGACAAAATTCTATTATTTTCCTTTCATTCTGTGCCGTCTCTTAATGGCCAAGAATAATACATGCATCACAAAATTATCATGCTCTATGGTTGTAGGTAGCTACAGAGGAAAGACGGGAAAGGAACATCACACAGCTGTAGATCTTCATTTATTTGACTGATGGTTTCAGTGACAATGTCCTAGGTGCGATAAGGCCTCGAAATGCAACCGTTACGGTTGTCCTTTCCTACAACCTCATGGCTTCCTTCGTCTTCAAAGAAGTCTAGGAACTAGGAAGCAACCATTAATGGGCTAGGAACTACCCAAATGTACGCACACACGCTCTCGTAAATCCAGTGCTGAGACTCGTTTGGGAATAATCACACAAAGTAGTTTAATAAAAAAGAGCAAATTTTAGTTATAACTGCAATGCACACTGATTGTTGAAATTGTACCTTGCTGGGCAATAGCAGGAAATCAGTTCAAACGCTGTGGAGGTGGAATTCAAAAAGGCTTCCTATGACTAGCTTCAATATCTTATCTGCATCCCGACTTCCATAAACTGCGCCTACATAGCAATTTCCAACGAATCCTCTCCCTTCGCAGAGGACTGAAGTAGTAGGCGAAGATTGCAAGGAGGAAGACGCTACAATCACACCGAAAAAACCGTTCATTCATCCTAAGACAAAGTAACAAGCACTCGAAATAAATTTATTGTCTTTTTCGCTAAAAGCAGTATGCCAATTAAAAACTAATCAAATAATTCGGTGATCAATCGTAATGTCTCTTACCTAGCCCAAATGTTCACGTTTTGGTAGTTTCTCAGACGCTGTAATGGGGCGGGTTTATTTTGTCGTTTAGACGATGCACTTGATTACGCTTATCTATCTTGCATCGTTGTTATGTAGATTTGAAGGGACCCATGGTAAATTAAGATGACGATATAGTGACATTTTGTACTTAGACCCAGCTGAGTTTCTCGTCTTAAACAACCTGGGACAGCTCAGCTTGGAGTCACCCACACAGAGTAAGATATTGGCTGACGGATTGACTACCTCAAGTGCATTTGACTACATTTTTAGTGAAAAGCTGGTGTTCTATGTCGAGGATCATCAGCTGCAGCACACCGATTTCATATCTGTTATCAAAGTAATGCATTATGTATTAATGTTTTTCGTTCAGGCAATTAACTTAACGGATTTCCGAGTCCATGATGTTTTCGGATTAGAACATGGTGCCATTAATGCTCTAGCTGTAGATTGGCAGAATATGATGGTCTACTGGGCTGATTTCAAGGAGGAATATATTGCAGTTGGCGAGATCAATCTTGAACTGATATCAATAACAAAGCAGAAGATACTGATGTCTAGAAACTTGAGCAATCTAAGATCATTGTGTGTGGATCCAGCCACCAAGTTTGTTATATGTTTTGTCACATGTTGTAGGTCCATTTACTGGCTCAAGTCCGACGACTCTACACAAATAGAAAGAGCTGGTCTTGACGGAAGCCAGAGAGTTGTGGTATTTGAGGAATTTGGTGTCAAAGGGCGGGATCTAAAAATAGACTTCTTAACAAGACGACTTCTTTGGTATGATGAATCTCACAATCGAATTGCTTGTATCAATCTCGAAGGCGGTGACATCAAATACATCGCCATTTCAGGTGTGTTGATGCTTCTTACTCTTGCTTGTTATTAGATCTGGGCAAAGATCGACCAAAGTTTCTGACTGCATCTGGCGGAAGAATATATTTTTTCAACGACATGACTATTGCCAGCGTGTCCAAAAGCGATCAAGTTTCTTTGACGGCCCATATTCACATTACATTCGGCCACCAGCCCTCTGGTGTAAAAGTATTTAGCAGAAGTGAACAGGCAGAAAGTAAGTATTAATTTGATCAGATTCTTCATTATAAATGATTTTTTCGTGATCATTTGACTCGTGCGGTCATTGTGGATCATTACCTTATGAGCATTACAGTTCGCCTTGCTTTATGCAGTCCTAGAGGGTCTTAGTCGCACCACCTTGTAAATTATCGTTGATCACATGTGTTCTTGAACGTTTTAGTAACATTGGAGGGCAACTTCACCTGTGTTCCTGAAAGGTTTAGACGATTAACTAATACAGGTGAAACTGGTTGCAACTTTTTGTGTTTGAGTTCACCTTCAAACCATCTTTACACATGCACCTGCCCGACTGGCATATCATCAGACAGAGTTGTTGCCTCGCCGAGCCTGAGCAAAGGGAAATATCAAATTAATCTCTCCCGCTCTTACGTCTGCCCGAAGAATCCAGACAAATTTCTCCTAATCGCTCGTCCGCCAAAAATTTTCATGCTTTCTCTGGACAGTCAACTTGTGGACAGCCCCCTCTGGCCAATTGGGATTTCTCCAAATCCTCGTGGAACTCCAGTTCGAGTGGATTTTGACCCAAAATCTGAGTGCATTTATTGGGTTGATAACGCTATTTACCGTCTGAAACTTGGAGAACGAAGTAATTGCATTCTTAAACCCAGGAACAGGTCATGTCTATCGGGTCTTATCGGTCTCCTTATTTCTTTAAGACCCCACGGCAGTGATTGAACCTACAAATGGGGCCCTGCACACTCTAGATGGTCTTGCGGTGGATTGGATAGTAGGAAACCTCTACTGGTCCACGGGTGGCAATAAGCAAATTTGGGTCTCCCGTCTTGATGGGGCCTGGCCACGACTGCTACTCACTCTCGAGGATTTTGATGACAACGGTGTTAGTGCTGCTAGCGATTCGGATGTTTTATCTGACCCATATAGAGAGGAGACTGTCAAACGAAGACCAACGGCCTTAGCTGTCGATCCACTTAACCGATACCTATTTTTTAACGTCTGGTCAGGAACTCGAGGTCGAATCGAACGGACTTGGCTTGATGGAACACACAGGTGGATCGGAGTTGTTTACTTTATCCTGTTTAGCTCTCCGAACTTTTTGCATTTAATTAGCTCACAATTTCTATACCTTAAGTATATTTCGCTGAATGTTTTGAGCTCATGTTACTAACTCCTTTTTCAGTATCCATCTCACTTTTATTGCGTACTCACTGATTAGCTTGCGACAGTAGTCTAAAACAGTGCTCAACGCATGGTCTTGATATTTCCATGAAACAAAGGCAATACAGGTTGCTCTACATCTATTTTTTTAATATTTTTATCCTCATTCATTTGTACAGTTTGGGCTTGACTCAAAACTCGATCTCCCCAAATATCGATTAGGTGAATCTTCGAGTGCCTAGGCTTTTTTACTAGATTAGTGAACTGTTCTGATTGCACTGAATCTGAGTTTATTTATGTTTTTTAAAGGGAAGTTATTGTTGACCACAATCACACAGTCTGGCCCAACGGGATTGCATTAGATCTTGAGGCTCGTCATCTTTACTATGTAGATGCCTACTTAGGCGTCATAAGTCGAGTGGACTACAGTGGACATAACCCCAGACAAATAGTTTCTGGTCATCTACAGCACCCTTTTGGGTTCGATCTCTTGGGTAATTCTGATTTTTTCAATGTTTCTGCAAATATTTTTAACTAGCTTATTGTAGACGAGAATCTCTACTGGAGCGACTGGCAAACACTATCAATCTCTCAAATAAATAAGCACAATGGAGGGGATTTGCGTGTTCTCAAAACTGTCGGTGTAGATGAAGCGCTGATGGGTATTCGAGCTGTTGATCTAACAGCCAAAGCCACACGTAAGTTTGGTCTTGCGTTTGGTCATAGTTTAGTTGAACCACATTGAATTGCGTTTATTCACAAAGAAATTTAATGATTCAAAACGATTTTAATTTATTTATCTGTGCCTAAAGAATTGTTTGGTCCGTCCATGAACCTTGCAAAATAACCACTTTAATTGCACTACCAGTCTTGGGTAGCTTTTTGGCATATGGAATCAAACTTGTTTTACTCTTCCTATTAACAACCAGTTTTGCGCAGAAAATACAAGATATGGGCCAGTTTCAATTGCTTATTCTGTTCATGCTCGTGGGGGTTATTCTAAAGCTCTCGCTCCCGTCACTTGCCACATCGGAATGCGCACAGTATGCATTCTACATTTTCGCTGTCTGTGGCATTTGGGTGTATTTGTGTGTGCGCAGATAAAGGGAATGTATGCGATGACGTAGCGAAGAGTGGCTGTACCCACCTCTGCCTGGTGCTCCCCGCGCAACGTGGCGGCGGGGACAACGAAGGTGATGATCGGTCCTATAAAGGCAAGGAAGTAGAAGACCTGTACTACTGTGCGTGTCCACCCGAATACGCTCTCGATTCCGATGGAAAGACGTGCATTGTGCCTGATTCCATGCTGCTCTACTCTCTTGACGGAACTGGCATTCGGCGCATGAGTCTGCCCAAGTCCCGCCTTCGGTCGCGCCATGGTCACTCCCGTGTACCATTCAAGCACCAATCTTCAACTGACCGGTTAGACTCCGAAGTCATTTTCGTCTCTCTTCTGTTCTTATCATATCCTAACATCATTAGATATGTGCGCCAATTTTGACATCTGACTTAAACTTAAAGTGATCCTCCTGTCAGTCAAATAGCTATTATCGTTTAAACTAGTCAAACTGAAGGAAGTCTGATCTGTTTGTGTTTTAGCCATCCATCTGCTGCAAGAGGCACCAGGCTGTTCTACCACGATGTTGAGCTAGCCGCTGCGGAGACGGCGGCGATGGCGTCCAATCAGATTTTTAACCAGGTTCCTTTACCTTTCCTGCGTCGTGTCATCCGCTTCGATGTGCACATCTCCGAAGAACGTATCTACTGGGTAGAAGACTCCGCTCCTCAGGTTCGCCATATGAAACACGCTTACAGGCTTGCTTTATCCTTAGCCGCCTATTAAACATCTTTGGCCGTCGTAATAATTTACTTTATATAATAAAAAATAATTTTCAATAAGGGCAGTCAGTGCTTAATTTTTTTTCTGTATTTTAGTGTATATCAGTGGCTTTTCTAAACGGGACTGGTAAGGAGACCCTGGTATGTCTCTTTTATGACATTGGACTCGAAGACACCAACCAAACTGGTGGAGGTGGTGAAGGAGGTTCTGCTTCTTCAATGTCACCATCTGGAAGTCAACATCAAGCGCGAGATTCTATCGTTGGTTTGGCTCTAGACTGGCTTACTAATGCGCTATACTTTTGCGTTGATGGCGAACGCCCCAGGCTGGAGGTTATTGACCTCAAGTATCGCAGCTACATGCAACCTTCATCATCTTCCTTTTATTCATCATCGCCTCGCTCACGTCCCCGCAAAACTACACGTAGGGGAAATTGGCATTCTAAACGAGTTCGGCGCAACATTGTTCCTCCGTGGTTTCTCCGTCCACCTAAAGGTGTGGACCCGTCTTCTGACGACTACGATCTCTATGCATATGATTTAAATCCCCTTACAGATCGTCTGGCAAATAATGTCGACAATTATCGTCTTGTACTCCTGCATAATCTATCGTCTCCACGGGATATTGTGGTTCATCCAAAGAAACGGTAGGTTAGCGTTTTTGTGGCTCAAAATCTTTCTGAACCATCTCTTTATGATTGGGAGCTTTAAAGACTCAACAACGAAATCAATGACCTCTTTCCATGTAGGTATTTATTCTGGTTAGACGGGACACACAATGCTCGGTTCAGTATTTTTTCTGCTGGGCTTGATGGCCGAAATCATCGTGTAATATGGAATGGCGTTGGAATGGTAATGAGTCTGGCAATCGATTATACCAGTATGTTGGTCTATCTTAGTGTGAACGTTTTAAGTTTGTTTGACCAAATGATACATATGCTTGCCTACTTTTGCTCTCTAACTGTTGTAAATGTCAAACTAAAAAAATTTTTTATCAAAACCCCCCATTATGTAGCTTTTTTTGATGCATTATTCTGCCCGGGTTCATGACTAGTGCTAGTTTTTAAGGTCCTTTGAATTTTCTCATTATCATGCTGAATTTCAACTTTGTACGCATCATATTTTAAATACTTTTAAGGGTTGTCGAAGTTCTTTAATGATTGTCTCATTAATTCAGCTGATCGACTGTACTGGATGAATTGGGTAACCAAATGCATTGAGTCAATATCGCTGAACGGAGAAGACTGGTTCTCCGTTAACCCAATACTTCCATCAGACCATGGGCCTTGGCGAAGCTCGGATGATGGTTACGACGACAGCGTGCCACCCCCTTCCGCCACATCCTCTGATTTCCACCCTTATGCTATTGATGTTTTCCAAGGAGCGGTCCTCTTTTCTGAGGTAAAGCTTTATACGTGCCGTCACGATTGTTCACCTGCGGAACTGCGCCAGATCAAGGAAATGACTTTGATTTTACAAACTAAGAGAATTTGCTTTTGGTTGACTCAACATATTTTAACACCGCAACACTGTATTAATGCGGGTCGGAATCCTGGGGTTTTTTGACGCACTTTGAATTGCGCATTTTTATCATGGTGGCAAATGACAGGACGCACCGAGAATAGCTGTCATAGTTTTAAGTTTTGTGGTTTAGGGAAAGCGCAAACACTTCCAGTATTGAAGACGTATTTCCATTTTCAGTTGACTACGCAAGGTGTTTATCGCGTTCAACTCCCAAATTCACGATCTGGGTTCACAACCGGCAGTCAGTTGAATTTGCCCGCTGATCTTCTGCTTCGTGGCCCTTCATCGCCGTCAGGCCGACAAAATTTTCTCGTTTTGGGTTTGTTTGTAGCGGGTTTCGATCGCCAAGCTGCGGAACCGGGCCATCGATGTGCTCCGCCCTCCTCTACGGCACTATTTCATCCACAGGCACTGTCCTGGAGCCATTCGTACAGTCTACAAAGTCTTCCCAACCAACTCCACTACCAACAGACTGGACCCATGTGCCAAGTATGCGGGTGTGCCTGTTAAGGTCATTGAAATGGTCATGTCTGAGGTGACTCTCAGTCATTTCGTGGGCATTACTTTCCTTCCTACAGGCTCTGTGTCTAGGTGCACCTCCACTCCATTCAATGCTGGGGAGCCGCAATGGTGGTAGCGGCAGTGCCGGTGCGCAGCCTTCTGTATTTAGGGGCCGTGTTGCTGGCGGCTACTCATCCTCTCTTCTTGATGACCGGTCGCCCCGATTTACTTGTGCTTGTCCCACACAATTCACTCTGGCTTCCGATGGCTACAGTTGCCTTGGTAGGCATTCCTTTCTTCGAGTACAAAAGTAGACTTCATGACCTCTTTTGAGTTGTTAAGTGCATACATTGGATTCATGCTGTATGATGATGTTTTTAGGTGAAAGCTGCGCTGATGTACACGGGTTATGGCATCTGCAAAATCATCTTATTCTTAACTTCGCTACCCTCTTATTAACGTTTATTGTTTACATTCCTGCTCTTGTTAACAACACTGTATTGTTAGTGGCGTTAAGTCGCACTCTGGTCTGCTTTCCTGATGTGCAGTATTTACAGTCACACTCCCAAGAGTCTTTTTCATTGTAATCCTAAGCTTTTGAGTGCCAAGACGCACTAACTAGTAGAATTATGCTTTAGTAATGCAACTGAAGTGTTTGAAACCTCATCTTACGATTCCTTTGCAAACGGTTAAAATCTTAAATGATGTTACGATGACTGAATTCCCATTTCCCCAAGATTAACAGTGAATGATTACTAATGTGTAGAATTATGTTTTTTGCTTTCCTTTTAAGAGCCCCATCGGAGTCTTTTGGTTATTACGAGTTATGGGTTAATCGTGCGCTACACTCCTGACGACCAGCCGACAACAAACCTCCTTTCCCTATCACCACTCGCTCTTCCCACGCACGATCATCTCTCCGCCGATGGTTTCAACCCCCCACCCACATGGCACCCTGTTGATCCAGTACCTCCGTATGTAGTGGAGCCGACCTTCAACGAGGGCGACCCGGATGCTCTATCGGATCCGCTGGCTTTCGCGAGGCGTTGGTCAGCCCGTCACCGAGTTGCTGCTGCTGCGCTCGAGGAGCTAACGAATGCGGGTCTCTTCTTCCTCTTACAACCCGTGGGGAAGCGTGATCGCATTCCGCCGTCTGTCTCTTCTTCCCGCGCCAGGACTTTTCGTCATGGCTCTGACGCCAGCACGAGTAGTGACAGCAGCAGATATCAGTCACATGACTTCTTTACTGGCAATATTCGTTCAGGAACTGCTTTTTTGCGTCTTGGATTTCTTGAATTCTCAACAGGCGAAGTAGCTCTTTGGGAGGGTGGACCCTGTAAGTCAATCAATTGAGGCAGTTCCATAATTTAACAATTTTAGGAGAAAACTCATCCCTACTACATTTTGCTTCAAATTCCGCACAACTCTGATGTAATCTTACCAGCATGATCCGTCAGTATACAACCTTCTTGATTTGAATTCGTGATTGTCAAATGGGAAATTAATTTTTTTTACTACCTTCCATTAGTGGTTCCGATGTCCGACAAAGCATGGCATTCTTACATCGGAAGTGGGGACCTCGTTTCAAACCCCCGCCAATCCCACCCAACTTTGTTCAACCGACCGCGTTGGAACCTTGCATTTGATCCAGTTAATCAGATTGTTTTCTGGAGTGATGTTCTCACAGGTCTAATAGGAGCAGAGAATAGCAGGTCAGGCCGTACCATTGGTTTAGTTGCAAATCTCAGTGAGGTATGACACACAACTAAGTTAGTTTTAATAAAGGAACTTTTTTTTCCTATTGCTGCTTTGATTACAGGATTCACGCACCATCCTCGAAATCGTTGTTGAGCCGCGATCCGGTCAACTTTTTCAGCTCACCTCTAAGTGGTTAGAGGGCGGTGGGCAACCGATTGACTGTCGTATCGAAGTTACATACCTGGACGGCAGTGACCGGCGACTATTATATGATACCATGAGGCACTCTATTTGTCCACACTCTCTCACTTACTCCGCCAAGTTAGCCCAGCTCTTTTGGGTTGATCCTGAGAAACGATGCATTTTTACCTTAAGCGTTGCCAGTGGTATCGGAAATGGGATAGTAAAACCTGAAATAGCAGTTGCTGATACTTTACCCATCCCGAAATCCCTTGCAATTCTACCCGAATGCGCCCGTGGGTCGCCATCAGGAAACTCTTTATGGTTAACGTGGCTGGAGCCAATCCATCACAATACCGCTCCTGGCAATCAAAATCATCCTATCAATCTCCTTTATGTGCCTCTTGATTCATTGTATACGAATGGCGCATCATTTGTCCCGCAAAAACCTCTTACTCCGCCTCCAGGATTCAACTCATATGTATGGAATAGCGGTGATCAACTTTTCGTAATTCCTATGCGTGGCGGTGGCCTGGGAGATATTTCGTGGCATCCGTGCGCTGGCCCCTCGCATGGGGAATGCACACAGTTCTGCTTACCAAAGGTCACTGCATCGTCTCCGAGTCTGCCCCTATACCCGGGCCCACTTGCTCCTCACCCTCCTCTGTCGGCACCCCAGCCACAGTCACTGTGGCGCACTGTTCGCCGGTGCGCCTGTGCCCTCGGCTCACAGCTTCTAAACACGGGGTCTCAGGGCGATGAAGGAAATGTGTGCAGTCGAATCCCCCATTGCTTACCACCGAATATGCTATGTCGTGCTGGTATTACAACCAGGGACAAGAAGACACCCGGAGAAAACTATTTTCTCGTTGGAGAACCCTTCCCGCAACGTGGGACTTGTATTCCAGCTCACAAAGCCTGTGATGGAGTCACCGACTGCCAAGTGGGCTTCCTTTGACCATATCTATTTCTTTCACTGATTTTTCGCCTATCAATGGTAGGCTTATATGTGATAATAAGCCCTTTAATTTGACCACTCTTCATTTGAAAGATTGCTATTTGCACAATAATCATTTGGGTAATAGGTATCATCGATTGTCAGTATCGATTCCCAGTTTGATCAAGCCTACTATTTCGTAACACATTGGGTTTTTATTCATGGTAAATTTCAATAAAGGAGCTAATGTCATTAACGAGGTCATTTGGCTGAGCTAGTTGAAGCCATGAGCTTCAATTTAGCTATCAATTCTTGAAGCCTGATATCAAAGAAAAATCTTCTACATTACCAAGCTTCCCATAAATGCATATGAAGTAAGCTTCTATTGGCGTTAACTTCTTGCAGGACGGAAGCGATGAAGTGAATTGCCCACAGATATGCTCTGAATATGAGTGCGACAACGGTCTGTGCTTACCCTTTTCATCACGTTGTAACGACGTAATTGAATGCGACTCGGATGAGTCCTGCTGTGGCAAAGATCAGTTTGAATGTCGTCGTCCGCCTCATTTGCTGCTCGTCTATCAGCACCAACCCGGAGCCCCATCTAGCCGATGTCTTCCTTCCTCCATGGTTTGTAACGGTCGACCCGACTGTGCCGATGGCTGGGACGAGGCCTCGTGTGAGGACCGGGATTCGAGAGCTAGCAATGATGCCAAAAATTTTGTTTCATCAAATGGAAGCACAGTCATGGTTGAGGTAGCCTTCGCGGACGGCTTGAACAAGGGAGTCAGCGAATTCCCTTATGTATACACAGTTTTCATCGTTTCGGCAATCATTGTCGTCCTTGTCGTCTTCAGTCTGGTTGCCTATTTGTGCTCAAAGAAGTGCGTTTATTTTGCATTTAACAAACTTGTTTGTGCCTTAAAGTCTACCACTTTGGCTGGTAAATTGATTCATATGAGTTGTTTATCCGAATCTTTACTGTGTTTGGGTTTTAGTCGTGCCTAAGTAATGAGTTGGTAATTCTTTCAGACGTTAAGTTGGCATTGAGTGGTGTTAATTCTGTGACTTAATAGGTGGTCCAAGTCTTCGTACACGGTGCGAACAGATGTTCTTCTGATTCCCACAAGAAAAGGAGACAGGGAAAAGGGTAGAGGGGATGAGTTATCCAATTGTGCGACTGGTCAGGTGAATAATCGCAGTGAATGTCAAGAGCCTCTAGTTGCGGGCAAGACAACAATCACATCCACTGCAACTCTGACTGAACGTGCTCCTGCATCCATGTCTCGACATCGAAGAAGTGCTGCAGGCAGTCGAAAAATCACATCGAAAGTTACCGTACTACCTCCACCTCTAAGTAATGGTTCTTCTAGCTGGTATTGCCCTTCTTGTTCCTCCCAAGGTGGTCAGTCACCATCAGTGAATGCTTATAGGAATTTTTGCAATCGCTGTCATAGGTATGGTCGCCATTATTCCAAGAATCCGAGTAAGTTGTAGGAATCACTTTCTCGTTATTTTTGAATCACTGCATCATTAAGGTTATCGTTTTGATACTTTAGAGTCATCTCGCATACGTTCACCATGCCATTGCACAGCAAGAGTAAGTAATGTTGAGAGGCAAGACAACAGTTCTTCTACTGTATATTGGACACGTGCGACTTCCAAGTGTCCGCCAGCTCCACCACCCTCATCCTTGCCGTCTCCTCCTCCCTCTCCAACCATTAGCTGTCTTTTTGAGATTCCTTCTGCCTGTCCGCCTCCAGCTCCTCCACCATCCAAATTGCATGCTGATGACGAGAATGAAGAGTTAGGCGGGGGAAGCTCATCATCGGAATTTAGTGAGTCTTCCAGCCCAACTACTTCACCTCTGCGCTGTCGCCATATTCACCATCGGCGACAACGTGGACGTCATTTACGCCTACACCGTCGATCACAGCGCCACGAGGTTTCTGCCTCCTCAATTGCTTCTATGGAAAACAGTCACCATCACACCTACCAATATGCTAGTCGAAAAAGGCGACGTGAGATTAGCAGGAAGCAGCGTCGCAGGAAGGTGAGCCTCCGTTCTGATCTAGATGATGCAATGGACTCTTCGTGTATGCATTGTCCGCAGTGCGGATTGAGGCAGCAACAGCAGCAAAGTTCTCATCATGACACAAAACGAAGAAACACCTTTGCCACTGCAACGACTGCTCTTCACGCTTTAGTCGCCACCTACAGTCAGGTAGAACCATCTTCGGTTGGAGCCAACACTATTGAGAGCGGCACTTCATCGTCTGGCGGTCATAAAACTACTTCAAATCACTCATCCGAATTCTACCCTCGTGTAAGTCTTTCCATGCCCAGCTAAAAGTATGCATTATGCAACGCTTACTCCGAATCGGTATGTTTTTTTAGTAGTCTCTATTTCACCAGTGCGTTTTTTATGCACCACGTTTGCCACTTAATCTTATGCTTGATAGAATAGTTAACTCTCCTTTTTTGAATCTAGGAAACAGTAAACCCACCACCCAGCCCAATAACCGAGTCAACCTATGCCTCCCTTCCGCTTGCCGTCTTAAGACGCCCCGGACCATCTCAAGAGGCAATTCTCTCGAATTCATCTGGTTCAAATGGAGTCATTTGCAATATGGGTGTGAATTCCTTTCCATTTGAAACTTTGGGGAATGATGAGTCAGAAAAGCGATTCATTACAACAGGTAAGACGACAGCCTCTGCGCATTAATCAATAATGTCCAATCCTTGTGATACAGAGCCAGAGAATCTTAAATGACTTATAGCTATTTGTCTCAATGGTACCGGTCAAAAGACAGAAGTTAAATATTTTAGTTGGAAATCTGGGAAGGTCAAACGTCCGCTCCTCGGCACCACCCTTCACTTGTTCGCCTGGTGATGATACGCTCAATCTTTCCAAACAGATCCAAATCTCTTCAGCTTCTAAGTTCATAACAGCGTCAGCGTCCAACTTTCATCCTCATTGCCGCCATCATCGCCACCATAATGGTGAAATGAGGACAGCCATGACAGCTGCCTCTGCTGCGGCTAAAACAACTACGACGACTACAACGACCATCCAGAACGTGCACCTAGTGATAGTTACATCCAACAAGGAGCAACTGCACCAATGTTGTAACTGTTGTTCAGATTGCTCACTCTCATCCTCTACCAGTGAAAGTGAACCGGATAAGTCCACTATCGTAGCGCCACATCAGAACAATGCTAACTCTTCCGGTTGCGTTGTGATACCAGATGAGCCAAGAGAACAAGCCGAAGGAGCCGAGGCTGAAGATATGCACCCTCCTGCCCGAGCTCCTTTTGCCCAATTCTCCCCTTCAAGGAACGGTTAAATAGTTTCAACTTTTCGGCACAAAGCATTTTAGACCATGTAACCTATGAACGCATTTTTGTTTTAATCAAGCAGTTTTATGTAGCTTAAACAAGTCTTTAATATTCTTATTTGCAATATATTTTTTCAAAAGTCACTCATGTCTGAGTCCCATTCGTTTGTCTCCCTCTGCTCGGGGAAGTCTACCGTTAGGTCGTACTTGAAGTTGGAATCACCGGGACGGATCAAGTTGCTTTCATACTGTTCGTTCATCACGGTTTTTTTTCTGAATGAAAAATACAATGGTTAGGATGGGTAACGACTAGAAGGCGTCCAAGAGGGAACTTGCCGCTCAACAACCTCATCAGTCTCTTTATTCAAATCTTCAGTTGAGGAGATTTTCTCCACCTCATTGTTGTAAGTTAGCGATTGATCAAGAGGTATCCCGTTCTCGAGGTCGTGTAAAATATGGACGAGGCGTATTACCTGCGCCTTAGGAATCAAGTTGAGCAGCGCGCGATGACTTCGGTTGCTGTAGAGTTTAGCAACACAAGAAAAAGTGTGACGGGTGTCAGTTGAGGATCTTACATTTATTCTGCGAAGTTTCATTTTTTCACCTTCTATATACTTAATCAATATTTCGGGTGGGTGAACATTTATGCCACAACCCACTACGCATCTATTCGTTCTTCGGTTTAATGGTTTAGGCATGCAAACGCCAAATAGCTGGTTGATTTGCACTTAGTGGTTGCGAAAAACAATCCAAAGCAGCAATGTCACAAATAATTAAAAGGAATTTAAACTTAAGAGATATTATGAATTTTACATTTAACCACACATGTAATGCTTAAATGCAAAAGCGCTTCTAAAATTGGAAGTGTTTTCAGTCTAGCTTTGCAGCAAGCTTTTTGAAAAAATCAAGTTGAAATACTATTCTCTTTCAGGCTTTCTTCAATATCTCTTATAGAGAGTTTCCCACCGCCTACAAAGTATTCTCTTTGGCACTTAGTTCTATGTCCAAGCAGTTCTCCTTCACTGACATGACGTTTGGACTGGATTCCTGCACCCCAGTTCGGAGACGATTAGAATCAAATAAAATCTTTTGATTATGCTGCCTACTCAGTTGGTCGTAGTATGCCTCACTCACTTTTCGTAGATGGACAAGGAGGCTTGACCGCTCTAGCATTGACTTCGGCTACACCACGAATTTCAAAGCTTCGCACATGATCTAGCTTATGCAAGGTAGAGATACTGGGTTCTATCCAACTATTATTTTGGCTTTTATTATGCTCTTAGTGTCGAGTGAATGGCGAATCTTCTCGCTGAGTTAAAATGTTACCTTTTTACTCCTTTACGTATCGGCTTGATGTATTAGTTTAATAATTGCGCTCGTTCGCGACCCAACTTATCAGAATAAACACTTCTGACGCTTCATGCTCGAGTTTCGACCAGTAAACCTGCTATCTCTGCGTTTACTCTTCACAGCAAACATTGCTTGTTAAAGCGCCCTTCAGTAGTGGAGCATTAGAGGTACACGCAACATTCGATGTACGGTGGTACAATTCGACTAAATGAGTAGAATATCTTTCAATTACAAGTTGGAAGCTGAATGCAATGCAATACTGATGGGCTGATTAAGTACCTTGGTGCTCAAACTTGTTTTAGCCTCCATTTTGTCAAAGAAGAAACAATGAATGACTTTTGCTTGAACCTGTTTTATGTGCCTCGTTTCCGTAGCTTTGCAGCCTGTCAGTGCATTGACGAATAGAGGTCGCAATTCCTCTCCGGCATTGAATAACTTTCTAATTTTACTCAGAACCTTTGCACGCAAACGCAGGCGCCATAGCGGCGGAAATGCAAACAATGATACTAATACTTTTTTTAAGAAAAATAATCCGGCATTGCATAGAAACTTCTAGTCTTTATTTAATTTAAATAATCCACACAGAAAATATCAGAATCCACTAATAAAATACGTGATTAGGTAAGCATTGCGAAATAGAAGTCAATTAATCTAGCTATTACTACCGAATCACTGAGAGTAAGGCAAAGTTATCAGAAAGTAGAATTTCGCAACTGTTGTTGTTTTGAGTTTTTACTGCTGTGCAGCTTTGAAGAAGGCCTTGTAAGCCTTAGCTTAGATGAATGTGCTATTTTAGAAAACTTTTGGAGCGATGCACACCGAGATCAAATAGTTGAACGCAGAGCAGGCTTTGATATTTGTGCCCATTTTAATGGCACCTGATTCCTATTTTATCCTTATTTTATTCTTCGAATTTGTTGCCATTACGTATGGACACATACATAACTTAGTAGCAATTCTGCGAACCCTCAAAGTATAAACTTAGGACAATTACTCATGTCAGGTAAGAGAGCGACACATTCCTGATCGTATCCGCAATCATGTTGTGGCAAACAGATGGATAATTTTGCCTAATCGGCAGTGTGGCTGCTTTTTTCCTTTTTATTCAGTTACATCCATTTTTGTGACGAAGAGTTAGGTACGGAAGCGAAATTTAGTTTCTCCATTCTTCCTTTTACGTCTGAGGCATTAAGGCAGTTCTGCGTTGACTTAGAGACAGGCTCTATGCTGCACACCGGGTTTCCCATTACCCATGCATGCTTTTGATTGTTCAGCATCCCAGATGGTCTATCGGGAAGGAACAGCATTAACTCAACCGAATAGTGATGCAACTAATAAGTAACTTCCAGACTCGTCAAAAATAAGCAGACTTTAGCATAGTCATACAAATGTATACAATAGGTAGCATAGAAATTGGGACTCCAGAAAATACTACAGTCCGATAGTCCTGTGACGAAATCGAAGATATTTGAGTGATTTCACGCCAAAACGCACGACGAGATCCTTTATATATTTGACTTTAAAATCTTCCAAACACTGTCTACAGTAAAAATGAGACATCGTAAATTATTCGATCTGAATACCGGTTTAGCAAAAAAGTGTTATGCTTCTATGGTCAGCGGTTAGTATTTCTTGTTATAGCAGTCAGGAGATGTAAGCAAAGTGCAAGTAAGATAAAAGCATTATTGAGCATCACTAACTAACCGAAGAATGTGCGAATGGCGAAACCGATTTGATTCAACACTCGGAGCGTGAGGAAGGTGTATTATGAAAGCATTTGGAAGAACAACAAACTTGAAATCGAGAGCATCCAAAAGCATAAAAAATGACACTTTGTTCCAGCCAAAGCCGATGAAGTGTTCATCAAACTGCCCATGTCCGCGCCTGATTAGAACATAAGGCTCGAAGTCGGCATCCCATTTAATCTGCACAATATTGAATTATAAAAATGTGGTCTAAAGTAGCATTGAATAAGGTGTTTAGTTGAAGTGATCATTTTGACAAACACCAGCCTTCTAAAGGCCGCATGTGGCTCTTGAGTGCTAGTGCAGCATTGTGCTGACCTCCGTCTCGAGAGTTTGAAATACACATATTGCTCGATCGGTTGCCTTTACTACCTTAAATTTTTAATTAACACTTATAAGTAGTATCCACTGGGATAAGTTTTCGTGGATTGGTCTGAAATATGCTTTTGCGTGCTAGGCATGGAATGACGTAGCATTTTAAACGAACCGATTGCCAATTGCAGTGTGAGCAAAAACAATGGACCCACCTCATAGGGCATTTCTGCTTTGTACCAATGGGAATAATTCGTGGCAAGGTGTCCAGCCTGCCAGACATCGATTCGAAAAGGCTTTACTACCCCAGATGCGATTTTCTGAAGCAAGCGTTGCTTCGTGGAAGGAAACGAGAGCTGTGTACAGAATGTTTCAAATGCGGGGACAATGTAGGCTACTTTCTCAAACTTGTCAACCTAAAGATAGAACGATACCATTTTTATCAAAAATTCTTGCTTTGAATGATAATGAAAATGCACCTTTTATACTACGACTACTTTTCATTTAGATGATAAAGCGCATTTTTTGCTTTCAAACCCAAGGGCATATTTACGCCTTCCTCGCATTAAAACAGAATAGAATTGAAGGGGTCAATGTTACCCAAGAGGAATACAATAGCAGATTGAAACTTGTATTCCTATCTTCCGGAACTCTGAAAGCTACGCAGTTGTCACACAATTCGCCTTACCGGAAACGATCGAAATTGGGTCGCACGAAAGTCGCTTCAAATGCAACAACAGTTTACTACATTTTAAACAACGCAACGTTTTCGGTTCTACTAAGTTTGATTGACATATTTTCAAAACATTACGGCATCGAGCCTAAATGGGATTAAGTACCAAGCATTAACGCATGAAAGGTAGTACATTAAAAAGAATTCTGGTAGTTCATGAAAGTACCGTGAAAACGGTCCAACAATGGCTCAGATACCCAACGTTCTTTACGACACTTCGGAAATGCGCAATTCAATCTAGCTAGCAATGTAATAATGCACTAGTTTAGGCTCTGGGTGCTTGTCTTTTCTACAGTTTACAGCACTTCATAAAACTAGTTCGGAAAAGTAACCCTATTAGTATTGAGCAACCATCAAAGCACCACATGTCCCAGAATGGAGTGTCACAAAATTGTCAAAGTGGCGTTGCGTTCACAAAGAATCACTGCTCCAAGGGGCGGTTTGGCAAGTGGGATCGCATTAATCAAGGCTTCGTGTAACTAGACGATTTCAGTAGCCTATTGCATGGAATTTGGGGAGCTTTAGGTCTTCAAGACTGCATTGAGTGATGCACAAAGATAAAGATGGGTTGTGTTCAACTACAAGTGGAACAATTTGGAGCAGTCACCGCACCGTTTTTAAGGGTAGCACTAATAAATAGCAATGCCATGACGAAAATGCCACCTAAATTCGTATGTCTTTAGGCTAGGAACCATCAAACAAGTGAAACATACAGTTGCTAATGTGCGTTGAAAGTAGGTGTGGAGATGTGGCTTTGGAACGAAGTCAAAGTCGACTATGAAAACATACGGTGTGTCAGCGTATTTTATTGCCATATTTCGAAGCGCATTTATTGGGTAGTAGCTCTATAAAAACCCAACAAAAGGTGATGCATGAAATCGATGACAGGTAACTTATACGAAAGAAAATAAAGTGGCACTTACGCCCTCTTGAAACACTAAATGTATGCCAATGTTTCCGCGTGATGCAAAAAGCATCAAAGAATCAAGGTACTCCGTTACTATTTCCGCTTCTCTATCGGTAACATAGACAGCCAGACTCATTGGACCTTCCCAATTAGCCGCAATTTCTTCAAGGCGGTGAAGTCTACAGAATGTTCAAGGAATTTTATAGGTATGCTGTGGTTTGAGCATCGTTAACACCAATAAGTGCCAAGCCCAATCCTTTGAAACAAGCACGGCTTAAGTTTGTGGCAAACGTTGACTCAAACCCATTAGATACGTGCATCGCATTAAAAATGGTAAAGCGCAGCTGTGAAACCTACACGAACATCAGCTCTGGAAGCATAGTGTACAAATGAAGGGAGAAGCGTTTGAACACGTGAAACACAACTACCTGTCCGTTGTAAACTGGCTCACTAGTGTCACATTTTCAATGGTGTTTGAAACCATTCCATAGAAGTATGGGAAGACACGTCTTTGGAGTTGCATTTCCATGTGGAGAAGTGAGCATGCTTTCGCAACACTTTGATGACGATTGTGAGCACTCTCTTCGGTCTTCGTGGGCGGTGGCTTTAATGCAACATATCAAGGAGATCGTAAAATGCTTTTAAACAAAGGGTGCTAATGCCACTTTACCACAGACGTCAAGCCGTCATTTTCCCTACTTTATATTGCCCTTAGTTTAAAGTGCAGAATATTCATGTCTGGCAGAACAATGCCAATATTTCAAAAGTTAACTAAAAACATCTCTTTCAGGTACATTGTATGGCACGCAATTTAACCATTCGCATACAGCGTCGTTTGTATTTCGAAAAATGCAAGAATGTGTGCTTACATACAAACTGTCAGCTTCTCGAAATAGGTTTCCGTCGAAGTTGGATAGGCGATCCAATGTTAGCGCAAATTGTAGCCGCAAATAAGTGGCTAAAGGGTGGCGTCAAATTTATACGCAAGTTTCGTCCACACAAAAGAGTCGAATGCTACCAAGTAACACTCGTAAAAGGTTGGTAAAAGCCTACATCCATTCGATTATTCCTACCAACTTCATTTGGATCATGGTGAACGTCGAGACAGTATGACATTCCCATTCATGCTTACGTGAGTTCACACTGAACGGGAAGGATCCACTGGTTTCAAAGTTCATTTTCGATGTCATTTTTGATGGACTATTCCAGTGTAAGATCCGTAGTCCATCCCATTCCAATCTGCCAAAGCAATCTGTTAGAATATGCATGATTACCGAGATTCCCCTACTCTGTCATTGAAAAGGCAGTGCGAATAATTGGCGTTATCTCCCAGTTGCAAATTCCAAGCACAGGGAAGTCGGTGAACCCGAGTGCTGTTGAAGTAGAGGGCTGCGTTCACAATGTCCTGAAGTGAAAGAATGGGAGGCAATAACGCATGCTTCACTTACACCAAAACAATTCCCAAGCCTTTAGTTCTCCTTATTTGTTTCGCTTTTTGGATGAGCTGGGAGATGTTAAGGTTTTCGTGCTTACCCCCCATTTTGTCCAATAAGTGTTGGTGGGTGTGTGGAGTTGGAGGTTTGGGACAGTAATGCGTTTCAGCTGTATGTTGGTATTTCATTCAAAGGATTGACTTTCGTTTATAATTTCATTGCAAATAACTGCTATGCTAGTAACCCACTTTTACACGAGAAGTCCTTATTATTGCTTGCGTTGCTTTCAAAAGTACCATGAAAAAAGCTGACCGATTTCATTTCGTAAAAGTGATGAGTAAGACAAACCTGATCGGCCAAGGATGTGTGGGACGCATTTTTCAGCAACTTTTGGGCCACATTTCTCCAATGCCAATTCCAGCCGACTTTCCGCATCTTTTGCAAATCCATTAGCACCACTCCTGTATTATATCCTCGACCCTAGGTAAAACTCAACAGTTGGTCCTACAATTCATCGTTAGTTTTATTGTTCATAAAGTTTTGCTATTACAATTAGACGCAAGTTGCTGTCGCTGTCAGAGATTGGACTTACCAGAGCCGGCCAAGAAGAAGTTCCATGTTCCTTAAGGTACCAGTCACTCTGGTTTTCAACGAGACCAATTATCTTTAGGTATGGCATTATAAAGGTGGTGTAAGTATTCGATAGTTGCAAGCAGGTGGTTCACTCATAGCCAGATATTATCACTTTATCAGCCATAACGCTTCAATGAATGACTTTTCTGCAGTGAACTCATGTAATTAATGTGATAAAAAGGTTAAGATGCAGCATTATTTTTGGGTGAAGTTAACTTCAGCATAGTATTCAAGAATGTACTTCTTCTTTTTTGAATGCTCCAGCCGATTTCCAGATGCTGATAAGATTGCCCTCCACCAAGGTATCCAAATCCAACAAGATAACCTCAAAATAAGAAGTTAAACTTGATAATGGCGAATGCAAATACGGTAACCGTGCCCTTTACGTATGTTTTATGATGCCAATGTCATGAGATGGTGCTTTCACTCAAGCACTCACCCTTCTAATTGTATGGGGAAGTACGTCCGATATAACAAGCTTCATAAGTCCGTAATCACCTGAATAATGTGCATTTGGAATCCAGTTTACAAGGCTCTAAAAGAACAATCATACTTTTCAGGTGCAATAATCTAGTCAGGACTAAATAGGCTAGTGAAATAGGAACGAGCACCTTTTCTCTACTTCGTCCAAAATCGCTCCAGGTTGCCTACCTACGGGTCTTAACGTCGTGGTTACAACATTTTCACGTTTTCACACATGCTTTTGTTTCTGCGATGAACCTTTTGGATTTTAAGAGAGTAAATAAAATGGCTTAATAATTGGTTGGGAGAAAGAAAAAGTATTTCATAATAGTGCTGGTTCGTTGCCTCCTGTAAGACTTCACTGGAGGACCGACAGATGCGATAACTCAGCGCATTCTATCACTAAAAATTGTCAGTAAATGGATCGAGAACTTGATAGCAATCCGACTTGCACAAGAGTGAAATATAGCAAGAAACAAATGAAGTTGAAGTAGGCTTGGTAATAGAAAACACTACCAAGAAATTTGCGATACTGTAAAAGTATACTTTCACTAGTGCCGAAATCCTCCAGGTTTCGAAGAGCGTAGAAAGACTCCTGCAAACATTCACGCTGCATATAATGTGGAAGCGGAATTTTGGCAGAAGCTCATCGCAGTGCCGCTCGAAAAGACGATGATAAAATATGCTTTTTACAAGCACTGGCACTTTCCGTGACGCCCTTCCTCCGCCTACAACCAAGGCGACGTCAATTACTGTCACGGAAGCATTTGCTTTGCCACTGCCGTACTTTTCACCCTGTACAAACGAAAAACGATCAGTTGATGACAATTGCCCACAGATAACTTCATCTGGCACTTCAACGTGTCGTTTAAACCTCCTGCATATGCCAGGAAGTAGTGATTCAATGATTGACTGAATCGCTGAATACAGCTTTGGTGTTCGAATCGGTCTCCATAAAAAATCATTTTGCAAAACTACTTGATTCGCTGTCTTACGAAGCTATTTTGGCTAGTTTGTGATTGCCTAAGCAGCATTTATAATTCACTATGGAGGTAATCACACGCATAATTTCCCAAATTTTTATTTCGCTTTGTGTTTCAAGTACTTAAGTCAACTGTTGAGAATGAAGCAATAAATTATATGAGGTCGAGCGATTGTAGATCTAAAACCCCAACAAAATAATTAGTAAGTTGTGTCAAGCTTTTGCTAATAATCGTTAAACGATTGCATTCGTTGGTTTATCAGCACTGCTAAATCCATGAGTCCATGCAATGATCCAACAAGTATGAAACTAACCACACTTTCTTTTCTAAACGGCTGATCCATAGCACACTGAGTCACAAGGGAAGTGGTATGTATCCAAATGGCAATCGACGAGATACTTAAGACGAGACAGACAGCCGTTACAAACATAACGACTGGCAATCGAATCAGACGTCTTGGCCGCACAACATGGTCTAGTTTTATGCGCCGTGTAAAAACAAAGGGCTGGAGGACAGAAAATTTGCAAAAGCGCATCTCGCTCGAGTCCGTTAGGACTCTTTTCCACAGAGCCGTACGAACTGAACGGTACAATCCCATCTCTCAGGCTGAAACGAATTAAAGATGGCATTGTTTCTCTTGCAACAGCAAAGCACCCAGTCAAGACAGATAGAGGTGTCTTTGACTAATTACTGAAGTATTCATTGCAAAATAATTGCAGTTAAGGACGTTTGGCATAAGTCACTTGTATTACACCACGAGAAATAAGCACGCAGATTTGGGCGTGAGTTAACACAAATATGTAAACACCTGTACGGAAATGAGAACTGGATGAAAGGGGTAAGAGAGCACCATTTGGTTCTAATAAAATTCTACAAAACAATGTCGTTATAGCGACCGAAATCGTTTCTATTGTTTAAATTCAACAGTTAAACCCGTCTCGCTTCTGTTCAAAACATTACGGCCATAATGGAACAGGTCATTTCGCATTTTTCTTTATATAACCCTTGAATTCGTGCCTAATCGTTGTTCCAACCCAGACCGGTTCATAGTCACCTAGAATAATCTTCATAGCATCAGGCATGATGGCCACCCGACATATGATGATGGCCCCAACGCTATCAAATGGCAAGGCCTAGAGAGAGCACTGCTACTACTACTACTTGAAACGCCTCGAGACGTTGATAATCTTTTAAAATATGCAATCACTACAAATTGCTTGGTACTCTATGAAAGAAATTATGCAGTTTGGATTATTTGCCCAGGCAGCTTAATTGATATCTAAAATAGCACTACCTACTTCCTATGCAGGAAAAAGTGTAAAGAAAAACTTGAATTTCTAACGCTTCAGTGCCCTACAGCGTGAACAGTAAAGCAAAGAAATTTAAATCTGCAAGGAATGCAGAACTTGGCATTCAACATTGGTGTGAACTTCGCGGCGCTTAAACTTCTAACCAAATGGCAGGTCTTTAAAACGTGCTAAGAGATAACTTCGTCTTTAAATTCCAACGCATAATGCTAATTACTTACTGTTCACTCACAAACGTGTCTCACTTTCCGAGCACTATGTTTTCTTAATCACTTCCAGGGTGCTTATATAAGACGGTTTTGTCTGAGAGGGTGGCCGTGATAATCGCAACCACGCTCCCCTGACCAATCAGTATTCAGCGCCTGTCGTATTCATGCTCTGGAGGAGAAAATGCATTAAATACCTCACCAGAAAATTGCCACCTCTAAGTTGCTGAACTTTAGCTCAAACGGCATTTTTTAGCGCTAAGCGATAATAGTCCTTAATGGATGGGGTTAAGCTGGAGACATTTTCGGAATTGTGGGATGGACGGAAATCAAAACGCATTCCTGGGAGGAAAAAACAAATTGGGATGTAGCGTAAAATATTTGAGGAGTACAGTAGACCCGTTTCGCGAAGACACAAGAAACACCATATGTATAGCCAAAAATGCTATCAATGTCATGGAACCAATCTTGAAGTCAAACTACTGATGAGAATTAGAGCACTAAAATACACTCCTGTAATGAAACTAAGCATTATATATGTAGACTTATTTAAGTTTTTCCAAACTCTTAGAAGATCTCAAAATTTTTACGACATGTCTAATTTACAAACTTCAAATAATCTGCTTAAGTATGCCTACTTCCAAGTAAACTGGCGCCATTTTAATGTAACCCTGATCAAAAGGAGTAGAATGTGAGACGCAAATTTAATAACTTGAATTTCTTCGTCCCCATAGCAATCATCATTTGTGCTTGCGCTGACCATTAACTCCCTTACTTTTTAACCAAGTCGCAGTAAACACCCGCATCAGAGATTGTGCGGTGAGTGAAAATGGTACCTGATGTTTTAACAAACTTAGCCGGAAGCATAAGCGGTGTTTCACCCGCTCCTTGGGCTGATTATCAAAGTGATAAAGAATAGATTGGTTACCGACTCAGCCACGGGTTATTCGTCTAGGGATATTAGTTGCGGGTTCAAATGGAATAAAAACGTATGCGCAATGGAGGAGTAAAGCCAAAACTAGTTCAGACTATCAGAAAGATTGTCTCACCGTAGACTAGTCCGTCGGCGTTTATTTTGCTGGCTCATGCCGATTTTCTACCCTCAAAGGCCCAGTAAGTACCAACGTCCTGAAAATCAGCTGCCAACATCGTGGTTCCCTACGGATAAAAGAAACACCATCCTACTCATTGCTTAACAGTAGAAAAAAACGTTAAGGTCTTACTGTCATAGCTACGATGCTACGCGCACCATTGTATGAGACCCACGAAGTTCACAAGAAGTATTGCCTAAACCAGACGCGAAATAACGCTGACCAACCCTTAAAGGAGGTAAGGATGAAGAGATATAAAACAATTTATTGAAAGAAAGATCAGGAACAGCCAGAAATGTTTACGAATTTCAGCATCGGACAAATTTCTTCTCTCCATAGTGAGGCAGAGAGCATCTTGCCAGATAAAATTGAAGAGGCGAAGTCGAAAGACGGGGATACAGCCGCCACGCCAAATTCAGGTAGGACAATTGAGTAGGCCCATTGGAATAGGAGGTCAATTTCATCCACCATATTCTCAGCCAATTCCATCAAAATTTCAACGACATTATTGAATGCTACTAAATAACAAGACTCTTTTGCGAGCATTTCTTTCAGTAAATTTGTTAGTGATTCACAAAAATCAAACACCTTCAAGGCCAATGTGCGAAGGAGGACTAACGAATCGAAAATTTCCTCTAAGTCACGAGCAACAGACGTACCAAGGCTTAAAGCAACATTAGCGAGAACTCTTGCATCAATATAGGGACTGAGTTGAACTTCAATCGAAATAGGCATCATAAAACCAAGGTGCTTCTCAACTCTGCATTTTTGACGTCGTACTGATGCCAAACTCGCGCTACGTTCGCAAATGCAGGCATAAACCTCATCCATTCGACTGAAAGATGATCCAATCCTATCCACAAGATGCGATTTAGAAGGTTTCAACATCAGCACTGGAAATACAACAAACAAAGGCATTCGCGAAACTAGCCCATGTTTTCATGGTACAGATACAACTAAACATACCAATTTATAGATTACGGGTACAAGCAGTTCGTACTTATGCAATAAACTTCTGCGATTATAATCGCGAACCCTCTACAAAGCATCCACAGAATTGACTTACCGCTTAGTTTCGGCACGAGGGACCAGCAGTACAAAGCGAAGTAGTTATTGCCCGCACTTGGGAAGAGGGGACTTTAACAAAAAGGAAGGAACCGCAAATCAATGATTTTCCACTTTGCTCATGTTTTCAAAATAAATTAACCACTGAAAATAAATGAATTAATTTAGTAAATTTTATACTAAATTCAGAACTTAAAATAAACAAAGGTACGGGCATGGGATTATTATGGCGACGGACTATATACAGTACAAAATCGACAAGTTCATTGTTGTTATAAAATTTTCTAAGAACTAAGGGCGGCTTAGCAAGTACACAGAAGATATTTAAAAGGTGGCTATAATGCTTTGTCTACGTGACTATCTGACATTCGGCGGTCACTTGAGTATTTGTCTGGCCCTTGTACAAGTGGGCCATGTTCAGGCCCATTTGCTCTGTTCTCTTTGCATTACAGGTATCCAGCCCCACTCACTGCCTTTTTTTACCCCATGGGAGGTCTCGAGACGCTACGGGTAGATTTCAATTTACGTCCTGAGTACCAGAAAAGTTTACGTTGAAAATTATCAGTAGAGCATTGGAAACCTGTTTTATTTTATCCAAGTCATGTTTATGACCATTAAACTTGGTGCGATCTCATGGTACAGTTCTTATTAATAACTTTTGTAAATAAATAAAACGTGGAGCTTGATGTGCTTGGCCAGAATTCAAACAATATATAACAGCACATGAATGTGATGGGAGGTCCTGTCGAAACTTAAGGGACCTGACCGCTCGGCGAAGGGAGGACCTTTACCGAATCTGACATATGCATAAGCATAAGATCAGGTATGTAGCCTTTGAACGGTGTGTCTGCAGACTTGATGCTTTGCCTGGCAGTCATCGGCGATGCAGCACATTATCCGGCGAATTTTTCCAACTTACTAAAGGAGTATTCCCCATAGCTACCACGTAAAATCTGAATTTCCGTCCTTGTAAAAGGATACGTAGCAATAGATAAGAACCAATGGATCCAGCAGAGGGAGTTTTTGGAATGTTAAACACAGCTTAACTAAAGTCGATATGGTTGAAAGCATGAGGTTATTAAGTAGATCGTATAACAATCGCAACTCGAGCAAGTGTTGTAGTACATTATTTAATTAATTGTACAAACAATGGTCACCACAGTGTTCATCGCTTGCGACAAACTTTAAAGTGCAGTCGAAATTCATACACATCGGACGGAAGAACCTCGCCTTCTTCACAACGACAGGGTAGAAAGAAATGTCTGCATTTGGCATCTGCGCCAGCTTTTTGCTCAACAAGCAAGCTACGTACAAATAAAGCCACACTATCGTGAACCACTTAAAAAAGGCTTCGTATCGGGGTTTTTATCAGCCCATCTGCGCCAAAATTTAATTCCACAAGAGACCGTGTTGAATCCTGTTCATCCTCTTGTGCATCTGCTTCACGTGCGTATTCTAACTTCTGCGCGTGGATAAAATTGAATGTTAATGGAAGTCTCTACCCAAATTCTCGATTAGAGGCCAACCCTAGCCCCACATCCAGCCGAAGCTAATGAAAGGATCGAGTATGTTCTACCCATTTCATTGGAGATGGTACGTGACGCAGCCATCTCGACAATATTTTCTTGCGGTACTGATTATTCTGCAACAGACCAGACCAAACCATAGTCCTAGTTCAATCGTTTTTGTCAACATATAAGTTCTCAATTTTGCTCAGTATTTATACTTATGATCGAAAAGTCTCTGAACCCAGCCTAAATGGCAAGAGGAGCGATGCCAATGAATGTCATTTGGCTGTGTAACATCCCGAGACTTCCCATCGGGTAAAAGAAGGCAGTAAGTGGAACTGGATACATGTACTCCAGCAACTAGGTCTGAGCATGTCCCGAAAGCCAGACTGACGTTTGGAGGTCGCTTTTGGATTTATCTGGTCCTTGAACACGTAAGCCGACCTTCGGGTCATCCTCAGGCACATTTGACTTGTCGTCTTCAGAATACATGTATCCAGCTGCACGTACTGCCTTCTTCCATCGGCTGGGAAGCCTCGAGACGCTACGCTGATGGCAGCGGAAAGCGAACCCGATATTTTTTAACGGATTTTAGGTATAAAGTGCTTTTATAGACCTTCTGCTCCAGTCGAGGTGGAATCCCTCTCTGCGGCTTGTTCTTCGTTGGTCGGTTGTTAATAGCGACATAGTGTCGCGGAAAATCTATCGTCCAACAGACACCGCTGTCTTACTGGCATCCCACGTTTGTGCTGCTAAACTTTGCCAATCAACCAACTGATTTCCGGAAATGAGCAGTACAACCAAGCCGACTATCAATGGTTCGATCAGATGTATGTCGCTTGTCCTTAGTGTTGATGCTCTGGGTTTAAGTATCTATGAGCCTGATAACCTATTGGACCCCAAAATCTGGTTCCCTTGGCCGAAAATTCGAAACCTCTCTTTTCACGACAAGGAGTTTATAATCCAACCAGCAGACAAGACTGCAAAGTAATTCTACCTCTTGGTAGAGAAATCCAAGGTCAATAAGCACATTTTGGCGTTGTGCATCGGCACTCATTAACTATACATGCGTAGAAGGAAGTCTGAATCTATCGAAGTGTAACAGATGAAAACACAGGTGATTAGGGACATGAATTGAAGGGGCTCATTTCATGTTAATTCTGATTCATCTATGTAATTAAAAGTTTTTTCTTTAGTCTTTATGTTTTGTACGAATATGCATTTTGTGCCGCCACTACTTAAGCCATGTTTGCAACGCTTTGCTTGTGATCACCTGATTTTTGACGGCTAATATGGGATTTGCTGCTACCGGGGCGGTGGACTCGCAGACTCGCATTATCGCCGACTTTTTACCCAACGAGAGTTTAATTATTTGGATTAGAAATCATTGCTTATGCAGTAATTGCATATTTACAAATGGATTTTTTTGAACTTGGCTATATTAGCATCCATCACCTATTAGTTTAAGTGAATCAAATTGCTTGCAATTTGGACGAAACACTTTGTAAATAACGCTGGTAAGGTGCTCAGGTCCTGCGCTTTTGCTATGTAGTGCTTTTGGCGGTACGACTGAGCCATCATACATTATGATGCAAAGTTCGTCTTCGAGTGATGAAGACTACATGGAATTTGATGGTAACAATCTGAGTCGAAAAGGCGGATATTTGACTGAACACCCTGGGCTTAAGGATTTCAGGCAGGCCTTATTCATTTAGTTTACTTATGGCCCTTTGGGCATAAAAGCGTGAGATTTCAATGTTTGGGTCTAGAACAGGTAGAATCTTATCTGCCGCTGGTTCTGCATGTGATAATGTTGCTAAAGTTAATACTAAATAAGCAATTGTTCGTAAGTCGTCAATTGTTTGGCTTTTTCAGCAAAACCCCATTTGGACCACTTCATCTGATTTATTTTTCATCTGACACTGCGTATCTATCTCTATCGCATTAGTATTTTTTAAGACCTCGATCGCCACTTAAGTTTTGGTCGTTAGTCTCCTAAACAGTTTAGTGTCAACATCATTATAGTATTGAGTGAAGATTTCATTGTTATTGTTAGTGCGTTTAGCACTATTCGATTTTGTTATCGGAATTTTTTGGTTGAAGCGCATTTTAGTACCTAACCAGTGATTTTCCAGTTTCTCAAAACAAACGCTTGCTCATTGCATTCCTTCCAATCGGTATTGTCTCTGAGATTCCGATGGTTATTTTGTGTGAGGCTACGAAATGTGAATTAACTTCCGTAAGACTTAACTCCTTATTTTGTCTTACAGGGATCGGACATGTTCGCGCATGCAGTACCTTGGTGAAACTGATTCTACTACAAGTGCCCGATCACGTCAAACAACTGCGCCTTCAACAGTTGTTGGAACAGAGCCATTACTTCGACGCTCAGGCTTCGAGTCCCAGCACTCCATTCCCCAAGCCACACCCTTAACAATCCGAACTTCTAGCCTCAAGGTCCATCGATCAATACCGCCACATTCCTCATCTTCCATTTATTCTTTTGCTGATGAAAATAAGTCTCATCAGGTTGTCACACTCCAGACACCTTTGTTGTCTGCCGAAGATCGGAGTTCTTCAGAAAGAAGCAACCAGTGGTCTTCTTCTGATCTCTCCTCCATTCGTTCCTGCAGTGTCATTTCAGTCCCTGTAACTAGCCATGATAAAACTCGACCCTATCATGGTTCTATTTTTGGCACCTCCTTCTCTAGCTCTGCTACTGGAGGAATGGGTCACATTGATGAACTTCAAAATGGCAGACTTCCTAGCCCTGCTAAAAAAACTGGAGAAACTGGTGAAACCTTTCAAATCCGAGACGGAACCCCTGGGATTTCTGATCCATCACCTGATGGCTTGAACGCGTCAGTCGATGCAGCTGAAGAGCTTCACAAACTTCGACTTCAATTGTGAGTTAGCATTTAAAATTGTTCTTTAATTAGATTCAGCATTTAACCTTTTTGTAATTAGACATTCATTGTCAATTACTATGGAGTTCGTCACATTGATACTTTAGTGTTGCACCCATGTTGCAACTCATGTCACCAGAGAACTGTGGTTGCGTTCTTTGCTGGCCTTATACTATTGATCAGTAGGTTCGGAATTTCCTTTCACTTTGCTGTGGTTTGAATCTCCTCCTCACCCTCAATAACGGGAATTACATGTAAAGAATGACTTGGGGTGGTTGGTTAGATTAATTTGTTTGACTTAGTATACCTATTTCTAAATCCATTTAAATTGTTTCAAGGTTTTTGAAAACGCACTGAACATTATATTACATCAAAATCATGAGTTTTACTTTATCTGCTACTGCGATTTGGGTGGCCACCAATTTTACTTCATAGTGTTTTTCAGTTTGCATTAATTGCTGTCGTGCGCACTCGAGTTTGGGATGCTATGCACCAACAATTGGATGAACTGAGGCCGCTTTACAATAATGTTACTATTTCTCTCATATGTTTCTCCTTCCAGAGTTTCTACGATCTGTCCTTGGTAGGTTTTATGTCAATGTACTTCATATTGTCACATGACTTTAACCTCATCAAGCCGAGCGGAGCTTAAACGTCACGCATTAACACTATTTCTTCCTCTCGTTTCCATATGTGACAATTTCCGCGTTTTGGTTCTGCACAACTGTGCATTTCGGCAAATCTTGTCCTCGAAACCGTAATGGTTCTAGCATTTTCTCTGGGAATGCGATCAATTGTAACAAACATTGTATAACAATGCCCATATTTATGGTGAAAATATTTACGGCATTCTATATTCGTTTATGTTATGTTGCCACGACAAAACCTTCAGTCTACAGTTGATCCCAGTGCAGAGCATTTTGATTCTCCAGTACAATAGTTAATTGTCATTTTTTTGCAAAAACTACTGCCTCTCGCACTCAGTAAGTACGTCATATGCAAATAGTGTACATGAACAACATGAATGTGGTATACGTCACCGTTTTTCCCAAATATTAAGGGTTTGCGGTTATTTTTTGCCGATTCTTCTTCTGGATGCGTGGCAAAGTGTATCCCATTGATGGCTCTGAAGCAGAAAATCTGATTTCTATTTTTGGGTTTTACGCGTCAGCGTGCAGTGTACCACGTAGCCTGAATTTGCTTTTTTACAAAGTATAACTGCAAATTGAAGCATTATGCTGACCCTCACGAATTAATTTTTGGATATGATAATTCAGTATAATACCAGATTCGATGTCCCTTTTTAATGATACCGACAGCTTTCATTCTCTTTCACCACTATGTTGCGGCATGATTAAATTCCTTTGTTTTTAAAATCCCCTTCCTGAATGTTTGTCAATGGCAAACTTGAGTTGTCGGGGGTAAAACGGACTGAATTTGTTGCTAATGTCCTGTTCTTTGTGTTTCTTTATAAATATTTGACGTCATTTATCGTGTCATACTCATGAATAACATTTGAATTCCAAGCAAAGCCACAACATTGGGCAATTCCCTATCCTCTCTTCCATTCCCCAGGAATTTAAACTAGATTGATAAATGTCGTAAAAGATCAAGCAGCAATTTTAAAAGAATAATTTTAGCAGTATTAGGAATTGGTGATGTCTGCGCTATAAGTTAGAAATGCTTTTGATCTAACCAGCCTGAAAATATGTGTTATCACCTAAAGTTTTCCTACTCTGTGGAAATATATTGATTTTACGGTTCGACTAAAGAGGGAGATTGATTGGATTCTTACGTTTTTTCTTTGGAAGATTTCATTCCATTTGTGCATATGTTTTAGATACATTTGTGTTTCCTATAGAGCACTCAGTTTCGATTGCGGCCCAGGTATCACCTTTTCCGCGTCGTCAAGGTCAATTTGGTGCTATAATGTGTTCATACCGACACCATAATCTTCTCTCTATCCTTTTTTTAGTTGCATTTTTTAGAATACACTTTGATTATTGTTCCTGGAAGTCATCGTTCATTCTCCTCATCGACCGTTATGCTGTGCTTGTGTAATTAATCAGTTCCCTATTATTGTTTTTTAATGATCTTGTTTTACCTGTAAATATCCAGTGGCATAAGTTACTCGTCCCCAGATTGCTTTTTCATAGTGCTACTCATTCATTAACTTGAATCTTAACTGTTTTAAACAAGAGAGACAATGTTATAACGCATTTTACAGTAACCGAGTTACTAAATTGGAGACAGCATCATTTTGACCATTATCCTTTGAGGTATATCCAAGAGACGTGTTCTATCTCTTCGATCGTGATTTATTTATTGTAACTTGCATTTTACATCGAAATTTTAGGTGCCAGTTGTTTGCGCTTTTAATGCAACGTTCCTCTTGATGTCTAGACCGCAGCTCGCTATCTCATATAAGCGAGTAATAAACTAGTGGTAGCCGGTCCGTCTTCGATGGTGGGTAGACCACTCCACGCACCAATAGCGAGGTGCTTGATGGTGCCAAATCCTATAATATTACTTGATAGAATGTAAAAACGCATGAATCCCATATACTGGGTATAGGGTAGCTGTCGATGTAGTTCTTGCAAAATAGTGTAAATAATAAACGTTTACTTTTTATGCAGATACGTTTTTGTTCTTCGGTGCATCGCCTACCCGTTCACAGTGCCTCTTCCACAGGATCCGGTTCGGCGATACTTAAAAGTCACTCGAGAGTACTTGGGTGTCCTAAGGGAACGGTTCACTGTGCGTTCTCTCTAATTGTTCTCCTTTCTTATTTTGGGGATTAAATGGGATACACCGATTGTGGAGCTAGGTGCATAGTGCTCGAACCTTGTTTTGATGAAGCACGTAATTTTACGATCCAATGTAGACAAGCCATAATATTTCACTTAGTTTCGAAGATAATGTTAACGTTAGTGTGGGTCAGCCTTATTTGTTCGGGTTGTCTGGGCATTCTGAGGTTATTATTTTGCTGCGAGAAGCAATGCTACGACCCCCAAATTTGCACTTCTAGGTGAGAATGTTGATTGCAATAAATCAATGCATTTACTTATTTTTAAATCCTTCAAAGCTTATGTCATTCCCTCTCCCAAGATGCAACTTCTTCACCACTTCAATAAGAAGTACTAGTTAAATTCCTTGCTCCTTGATGGACACGCTTTAGGGCCATCAGTCCCAAATAAACTATCAACAAACCTGTATCCTCCTAGAGTAGCTCCGCATTTCTGTACAGGCATTGTGAAGTGGCCATAACTGTAGTTGGCCTTAATTGATTTTACTCACTATATTCTCTTCTTCAAATACGGGATTTGGGATGTTTTTTAACCAAATCTGCAGACCTTTTTGAACTCACATCTTTATAAAATTCCATTGTCTTATCCATCCATTTAGCAACTGTTGCATAAACTAATTAGTACGCTTTCTTTTGTGCTGTTGTTTACATGACCCCAGGAGGCTCAGCTAATCAAAGTGGGTACGGTCATTTCCTATTTTGTACGTTTTTGTACCTTTATCTAGTTTTTTAACGCTAATTGTTTGAAATTTTTAGCTGTAACTGTTTGGCTATGTTTGTGGCTACACAGCTCTAAGATTGAACATAGGATTTTCCGTTTATTTCATTTTGTGCTTCACTTTTCTTAGGCCTTTTTGAACAGAGACCTACAGATAGTTTGCGACGAGGCCTTTTTTAACGCTGTACAACATTTTGATGAGATCTATCTCAGGAATGAATTTGTCGAGCGTGCGGTAATAGCTGGTGGCTTTTCAATGAACGACATTCGAGGGGTTTTTGTCAGAAGCATTGAGCAGAGGGTGCGTTCGATCTCAATGAATGCTCGAACTATTTTTGATTCTTATAGCTCAACAGCTTTAAATTGATCTGTTGCCACTGATCTGTGCAAACTACAAGTTTTTCAAACGCCGTAATCCCTTTACTTATCTTGTTATAGAAGCACATAGAATGGGTTAATGTTGCCCTTATATACTTATCGTCAGTTATCACTAGCAAGAAGAGCTAAGAAGTACGTGTTCATATCTTGATGTGTTGGCGCCGATCAAATGTTTTGAAATTGTGTGCGTCAAGTTGAAGCAAACGTACTCCTCGAATTTAATAAGCTAAAAGTGAAAATCGTATGTAGTTTTGAAAGAGTGAACTTGCTAAGAATTTGCGGCATCTCTACTGAAATTGAACAAGTGGCTTGATAGGGCTTTCTATCATGAATGTTTAGTTGCAACGGTTTGAGGAAATTGACGGCCTGCCAAAGCAAACTGTGATAGGTGCCTGGAAAGTGAAGTTTGATCAAATATGCCGTGGGGGTGAGGGGCCCTGTCCCATCGCAAACCGCCTTGGTTCTCCTCAACTCGAGTTGACAAATCCAACTAAGGAGCAACTCTACGACCTATTTATGCGAATTCTTTTCATCAAGAAGTATGAGCACCAGATTCTCTACAACGCCTGTCAGGTATGTCACGGAATTTTCACTTTGTGGACTGTATATTTGGTTTTCCTATGCATTGCGTATATGATAAAAGATTGCAATTTTGTGGGTTAAACCGCTTTGCATATGAAGTTAGTGAATGTTTAGCTTAAAACCAACTCAAGCTTTACTTTGGGTAGATAATTACGCGTGGAATTAGTCCTGCTCCTTTTGCGCACTATTCTAGATCGTTGTGTATGTTCGCTGAAGTATTGGAGCGATGCACTTTTGCATGGAATAAACAAATTTTGAGGTCATCGCCTTTGATTTAATGCGTCCTCAAATCCACTTGCATTTTAGAAACTCGAGGCAAAGATCGAGCATAAGATTCGTTCCTTTTAAGAGCCTCAATGGATAGTGACCTAACAAAGTCCCTTGCCACATTTTCTTACCCATCAGTCCTCAAATTTTTCTGGATCTTCTGTGATGCTTCTTTAGTTTTTCGTAAACACTTCAAAGTAAACGGTCTTTGTTGTTTCTTAATAAGATCTATTTCTTGAGCTTTAGCAGAATTGCATATTTTTAAGCATTGTGCCTGATCGCGTTGTCGAGCAGTAGATGGTAGCTTTATGCGGTCAAGTATAAGGCTGAAAGATCAACTCCACGCACTTAAGACACTTATCACTTTGTTTTTTTCCCGCCCCTCAAAAATATTAGTCTTCTTTCGGGTGTGTGGTTGATTGTGGGTGGAATGGCTAACGCGGTAGAGACTAAGTGCCTGTGAATTATCAAATCATTACTACTCAAAACCGTACATGAATCTTTCTTTGAAGGCGTTTAAGAGTTGCCTCATACCGCATTTTGTCACCTTTTTCCCAAATTTTTCAAGGCAACAACGGTAACCTTTTTTTCTATCAGGCACTTTTGTGCGATACAAAGGTATCGAAGTGGGATGAAAGTGACAATGACTAAAGTTAACCTTTTCACTTTCAGATACAAAGCTGTATAAAGTCTAAGTTTATAAGTTGGCACCTTTGCGAGCAGGGCACTTTGAGTTGCAATGATAGATATTTGACCAACTTATAGTAACATAAAAAGCCTATGAACCTATTCATTTGGGTTGGTTTTGCAAACTGTCAGGATAGTTGTTGAATCCACTCCCTTGTGATCAAACATGCTAAACCTTCTGGAAGATCACTATCCATCTTCATTAATGCATCACCAAGCGAACATCTCTGACGAACTACGTAGTTCAGGGGCTCTTGTAAACTGGTTAGACCATGTTTTGTCGAAACTTGATTTGTGGTGTGCCCATTTTCTAGAATTTGCGTGAAAATGTTGAGTTTTTACAGTTGGATAGCATCGATGAACAAGCAGCACAGGTTCGACGAGAGCTAGCCGATCGAAAGAGTTTTCTGGAGGAAATGGCAGCTGTAAGTTTTAGCTACATTAAGACTGAATTTTGTTTGATAAACTTTGTGTCTTTGAAAACTTAGCTTCTTTATAATTTTGATTGCTAAGTTTGTTGCATGAGATTTGGGGCAAGTTTATCCAGTAGCTTCTTTTGTTCAATGCAGCAGTTCTCCAATATCGTCATAGCATTGAAAGAAATTGTAATTTGTGTTTCTGGTCACTTTCACGAAGAGTCACAAAAAATCTAATGCAGATATGAAGAACTCTTGTTTTTCTAACAGATTTTGCCAGTTTAGGCGTTGTTCCAATTGCTATACTTGAATATCTCGGTATGCTTTCTCTTGTCGTTCTATGGGACTGCAAAATGTCTTACACTCTGTTGTCTTCTTCGCTTTAGAATCGTCGTTATCCCAAGATGGTGCACAAGGAGATGGAAGTACAGTACGTGGAAGAGCAGATTAACAGTTTGAATCAGCTGATGTTACAGCTGGATACAGTACCTGTAGGGAAGTCTCACGGCTATACTGCTGGACCTGCATCGGCTGTAGGTGTTGTGGTCCAGTTACAGCGTCGACTTAAAAAGTGTTCCGGCCACGCACAGACGGCTCAGAACCTGTCATCCACAGTAGGAATTCAGAGCTCCCAGAATGGAGGTTTCGACGCTCGCAGAGGTGGTGCGGCTGGATTGTCACCGGGTCGTCACACTTCCATTATTGCTTGGACTGCTAATGAAGGTCAGCAGCAGCAACATCAACAACTGCTGATAGATGGAACAAATATGCAGTTATTGTCTTCCATCAATCATGCGAGTGGGAATGCTTCCAAATTATCCATCCAGTTATCGTTCACTCTTGAGGTAAGGATTGTTGTTTCTTAAACTTGTGTTTTCAAATAGAAATGATCCACATTTTGATGGACGTCATACGAGGTATATTTGGATAGTCTTTCTGTTGTTGTTGTTGTCCTCGTTGATTTTTAAACAGCTTTACAGTTTAATTATATTGGATTTTAATTGGACGGATATTTTTGGCACATCATATTATTTGGGGCGTCGAACTTAAAACGTTTAAGTATCGCTGCAGCTACCGCAATAATTGTTTTCGGAAGTAATGTCACATACATTTGAAGCTTTGATGGAAGTATAATTTTGTGCAATTGGGTGTTGATGCCTTCTTAGAGTTGGTACTATCTACCTGTAGCATATTTATTATCAATTTTCTGCTGCGTTTAAGCTCAATGTTGACGATAGTCGAGTGCATTTTATATGGGTTTTTATAAGGTATATTCTCATGCGATTTTTTAGCTAATTAAATCAACGCTTTCAGGTGCTCTTAAGACGTATCCATTCCGTACAGATCCTAATTTGTCAGCTTCGTCCACTCCGACATCTCTCTGGCAGCAAGCAACTCTTTTGTACCATTGAGGTAGAGGGGTGTCCTGAGAGGCAGCGAACTGCTTTTGTCAAAGCTGCCAAGCCCATGTGAGCCAACTTTCCACCTGCCTAATTCATACTCTATAATAATGCCTGATTAATTGAACTGCATTGTCAAATTAAAGTTGGCTGAAAGGTTTTGGTAAGGTGTTTAACCCTTTTGCTCGTAGATGGGATACCCTTGCCGAGTTTGAAACACCTCATCCTCTTCCCTGTGTAAAAATCAAACTGATGAAGGAAAGTACCGGCCCACTCTCTCTAGATCACAAGGAGCTTGGCCGCGTAAGCACGGTCTTCCTTTTTCCGTCCTGAAAAATCGAGACCCCTTAAACACCCTTTATGCATAGACGCAGACTGCATTTGTCTGGAGTAGTTGAGATAGGTGTAGTTCATAAATGTCATCAGGAATTGAGGTTTCATTTTCAGATTGTGCTTCTTCCAAATCCATCTACATCGCACCTCCCTACATGGTACAGACTACAATCAACCAAGAGGTGCAATGATATTATTCAAATGCAAATCGCCGTAAGACAGGAGCGTCCATCAAATCTGAAGCACTGCGGCTTCTGTTGGGTTCAAGGCAGATCAACTTTCAAGAAGTGGAAGATTCGTTATCTATGTCTTATACAGGTACATTTCATGTAAAAATTGAGTGTGCTTATCACACCGTAAAACTTCCAAAGTAGTCAATAGCGTTGTTTTCGTATGGAATTAATCTCTGTCACAGTACCTACGAACTCGTAGTGCTAATTTTTTGGCATCAAAATGCATGGTTCGATTTTTTTAAACGGTATCCGCCGATTCTTTGCAGTTTTTGGCAGGGAGTCGAAATCTTCACCCACTCTTTTCACCGTAGTCAAACGTTGGTTAATGCCTTAGAAAGGAAACAACATGCTTAGTCTTTGGTAATGGGTGCTTTGGTGTTTTAAGTGGAAGTCATCCCTAAAATCTCAAGGTAGGGATCGTTGTCATCCAATTTGTAGATATACTGATCTGAATTGAATGTTATGGTATTCACTCATTCAAGTATTTCAGTTGTAGTCAAGTATAATTTCCTTTATCAAATGAGCACTGTTTATGTTCCAGGTATCTCAGTACACTTTTATAATGGCTGCCTTCAAGGAGGCAAAAAGTGTTGCCTACGAAAGCATGATTCTGGACGGGTATACTGTCGATTACTGTGAGACCAATCAAGGTATTTTGTGTAGTCGTCAGTGCCATCTGTGTATAATCTTTGTTTCGACTTCAACTATGTGATTACATCGATTTCACTGCCAAATGAGTTTCCCTTCCCAGCCCAAGATTGCATTAATGCATCATTTAGTGGCAAAGTTTTATGCTATCAGTAAATGCATTATGATTCGAGTCAGAATGCATATTCTGTCACTTCTTCATTTTTCGCTTCTCCTTGTGCATTTTATAGTCCTTACAAGTAATCCTTTCGCCATTAATTGGTACTTGCAGCGGGTTTATTTCACTTATTTGTCAAAAAGGTGCTGCATTTATGTGTTTTGCAGTTAAAGTGGTGCTGAAACTTGAACTCTGAAGTCATAATTCAAAAATGGCGTATGACAACTAGCGATAGTGCTCTTCTGAGTGTGCAAATACTGGTAGTTCGTTCGAATAGATTTCCATGAACAGATCGGATTATCTCCTCCTAATATGTCGAACTGTTCCCTCAGGGGTTTGGGGGTAAACTCCCGTTAAAAATTCGAGTATGTCCCATGTGGAATGGATTTACTGGTGGTAGGACATATAGTCTTATTCAATACGAGTGTTGTACAGCTTTTTATCTGCAATTGTATATCATATGTGCTTAATTCAAACAACTCAACGGATAAACTCACAAGAAGATACTTGCGTACTCACATCCAAAGTTTGTGAGTTCGTAGAATTGTTTTGCAACCTTAAAGTTGTATTTAACAACTGTTCTTATGGATGATATTGACGCTTTAACGCGAGGTGTATATCACTCAATGTGTTGTCGTTTCCTGAGTCTCCAACTGATACGAGTAGTCGTATGTTAAGCTAGTGGTAGAAAGTCACAGTTTCTTACCAAATCGAAAGGATCTGATTGATATTTGTTCGGCGGTGTGATAACGGATAGATTTAGACACCTGAAATATGGCGCATCAAGGTGACTCAGCTGTTGGATGTGTTGCCTTAGATCTGGTGTCAGCGGCCAAGGCAGAATTAGCCACTGAGCCTGGTGGTCTCTCATCGTCAATGCCTACGCTGAATAAAGTGAAGGGACCGGGCAGCCTTACTAGCGCATTTGGTGGCACAAGTGGTCCAAAAAACTGTTCAGTGGCAATAGTGCCCACTTCACGGGAAGTAGCTTCCCTCCAAGGCAGCGTAGAAAGCGGCGGGGGGGCGTTCGATAGTCTGCTTTTCAGTCACCGATTACCGCGCTTCTTCTTTAACCTTGTGCGTGAGGGCGACGCACTCACTTTTGCCGTATTTGAGGAGTCTGAACTGCACGCCTGGGTGCAAGCTATCCACCGAGCTACTGGCCAATCTCATAAACCCATTCTTCCTACACACGTCATCTCTAAGACGCATTTTAGAAAAGGTGGTAAGTCGTCCTCCGACGTGTCTGCGCAATCGTTTAAGCTTAAAAACAGGGCTAAATGTGCATTTGTATTTTTAAATATTTAACTCATGTTCAGGTTTATTTTTGGAAATCCATTTGATATTCTTTATTTTCACAACGCTGAACTGCCTAATTTAAGTACTGATCTATTAAAACATAAACTCGATCCATGAACACGTAAGATTTACAAGAACAGCAAGTTTTGTACTATTCCTGTTTTTCTTTTGCTTAGACTGCGACGGTGCTCATCATCTTGGCGTTAATGCGCTTGTCGCAGTCAAACCTCATAAAGCTGACCATCTGCCCTTGCTCAAGGAACTTCTTGTTCGAATGCTGGATTACCGCCTTAAGGTAAGCTATTTTCAAAAATGAGGCAGTCTAGTTCCCACCTACTATGTCTTGGATACGAGGTTTCTCCTTTTTTAAGACGCAGATTTGGTACATTAATGTTGCTAAATTGGCCAATACGACTCAAATCGTAGGCTCCATAAGCCCTTCCCATGAGTTGCCGCAATTTTAAAAGCTGTGTATACTCATTCATCGTTCACAGGATGTAAACTTGTGGAATACTTTCTGGTGTCGTCGGCTGCGGTTAATAGGGTTTTATTTTGCTTTACGTGCTTGTTTCTGACCAGAACGACCCCCAACTTTTGGCCAGGTTTTGCATCTCTCCGAATGACGGCCTACAGTTTAGGCTCTTTGAAATATACTTGTCACTTTCTTCCAAATATGCCGTTTTAATTGTCATCATGGTTGCAGGACCCCTTCGTTTCTCTGGGTTGGCTTAGTCCTTCGCAAAGTCTCGTTCTGGAAGAGTATTGTAACCGTTACAGCATTCGAGAGTGCCAGCGCTATCTAATCTTTCTCAATGAATTGCTCAACCTCGGTGAACAAAATCTTATGATTGACATCGACTTAATCTTCCACTCATATGTTCTCTGCGCTGACCACGTTCAAGGCAAAACGTCAGTTGCAGTGTTTTTATTGTCAATTATATCATGAATTATCATCATTTATTATTACGCTAATTTCACCCCGCTTAATCGCTGCTATTCTTGCGTCTAAGTACCCATTGAGTTAAATTTTATTTCCCAGCCAAGAGTATGGACAGGAATTGTGTAATTCATTAACCTTTCAGTTGTTGTTTGCTTTATAATGAATTCTATCGTACAAAAACCACTTCACTTTACTTTCCACAACTCCGCAGTTGTATCAAAGATTTGTTAGGCCCCTCACTAAAGGATTCTTCTGGGTGGTTCTTACTCTACGTACATTAATATGAAACTCGCCGAGATTGAGAAGGGTTAAATTTGTGAAGTGACCCCTTGTTATAGTGTTCTATCCTGCTGAAATGCTTGTGTTTCGTATTACTACTCTATTTATTGTATTTTGCATTTGTAGAATCAATTTACCGTCACCATTGTATCTGACATTATGCTAGATTAAGTGAAGTAAATGTCTTTTGGTTTGTCTTCCAAAATTACCACAATAGCCAATTGTATGGATCATTTTTATTCAAATCTTTCAGTCACCATCTACCTCACCGTCTTCTTTGTTTGATTTTACCCTTTTACTGGGTACCTTACTACTTTCAGACAGGAGAATGGAATAAATACTGTGCTTAATGCAGAAATGGATGAATTCCAGAGAGTTCGAACACGATTGTTGGCGTTTCTCGAGAAGCGATTGACGGGGTTCCGGTTTCACTTTCCCTTCAATCGGCCGGATGGAGGCCTGGAAAAGTTGTTGTTACTTTTAGATCGAGTAATTAATTCCTTCGAATAAATTATTGGTTCCTTTTCAATTGTTATCCACCATCCCCAATTATTTTGAAAATCCTACTGATTTCTTAAACTTGGATCGCTTTGAAACCTATCGTCCTTTATCGGTGTAGAGGTTGAGAGGACGTATGGTTCACACTTTTCTGTTACAATCAAGAAATTCTTAGTTGGGTTTTTTGTCTCTTAAACTTAATTTTTCTTAGGCAGAGTCTTGGAGTAACGTGCATAGTTGTTTACATATGTAAGGTCATTGCCCACTCAAATGAGGGAATTACAACAACAGAGGCGGTAAGGTCTATGGTTCGCGTATGTCTCCGCAACGCAGCTGTCTTAAACTACGAAAAGATCTCCGAATTCGCGCAACAGGAGGGTAAGGGAATGCATTTTCGGATCCTGTCTGACTGCCTATGCGCCTAGTAAATGCCCATTCGTCTTTCCTTTTAGCTAAGAAGAAAGAAAGTCCTAGTGATGGTACGCAATTTTTTGGTGAAAATGACATTTTAGTGGTTTTTTACTAAAGTGATCGAAATGGCTTTTCCATACGGTGCAGTAAAAGCTGGATCTTAAATGACGTTGTAATCAGTGCTAATATGCGCTAAGATTTTGACTTTGCCAGTGTATTAGATGTACGCATAGAGAATGGCTTAGAAAGATGCCTAACAGTTGGTGTTTTATGGACGACACGCTCATGCTTGTTCATTGGTGTGTTAACTGTGACTTGATCTGATCCTCTTAATACTGAAGGTGAATGCTATGATTTACGTGAAGCTGACCCCTATAAAATATAAAGCGTTTATTTTGAAGAAAATTTTTCACCGCGTATCACCCCTTAGCATGCTCGCCCATTAAGGCAAGGTGGCTCGAGAGACTAGAGCATTTTTCTATCCCTACATTCATTCGCTGCACGAGTAGGTTAGTTAATGTATGTAGTTTAGTGCTTCTCGTTAACTTTTACTAAATGCCAACCTGAAATTTTCATCGTTACGTTCTGAGCATCTCCCTCTCTACGTTAGCTGGACTGCACACTCACGAGAAACGATTGCGTGATCTTCTTCGCCTTGCTGAAATTTGCGTTGATACGCTTCAGCAAAACGATGATTATTTTGCGAAGGTAATTTCTCTTTACGTAGAAGGCACAGGCATTTGAAAATCAAACCTTTGTTTTAGATTGTGCAGGAAACAAGCTAACCTCTCAATAGCCTTATTTCGAATACACTAATAACTATATTCTCGATTGAGTTTGTAGCAAATCCTGCAGTTATTCCGTAAACATGCATAAAGCATGCTTGAAGCCCAAATGTCCAATGCCGGCATTACATGTTTTGATCGGCTTTCCATTTAATGTTCTAGAATGCTGTGTAATTGTTAAAACCTAATCAACTGCTTAAGCGTATGGCTTGATAAATCGGCCGAAGTTTCGGTTGATCAACTTTGTTACTTACCCCTGCTATTACCTGATGTTTTACTGAAATCAATCGTTATTTTTTGCTATTAGTTGCTTGTGTCCGTAGCCACATCATTGTGGATGTATGCGCACAACTCCTAATGCTTTTAATTCGCTTTTAGTCCTTTATCTGGTATGGTGATTTGTTTGTCGAGCATTCCGAAAACTTCCTCTCACTTTTTCAAATGGACATGACAGACGTGCTTGATAATTTACCGTCTGACAATTGGGACGTTTTTCAGATTTTTCAATTCCTCAATAACTGCCTTCTTAATTCAGGTCAGTGAAGATTTTTGTACCTTACATCCTGGCATGGCTTTAAGATTTATATAATTATGTCCTAACGCTCAAGTCATGTCTTTATTTTACCTTTAAATTTTTTTAAACAAGTACATGCACCATTGTTATCGACTGCAGTTTGCTGGTTAAATTTTTCCCGAATGTTCTTCCATCTTGTTGCGCACAAATTTGATAGTAAGATTTGGCTAGCACATCTTTCCAACCCTCCTAAATTTCGCCTGTGATCACTTTTTTGAAGTCAGTGGACCTTATTCACTTGTTCACCATAATCGGTAGCCATTAAATCTTCAGTTGGTCGAATAGAGCATCATAAAAGTCGATCTGCCTTTTGAATTTAGAAACACTTGCTAATGGACCATTTCACACTGCTCTGTTGGACCGGTTCGCACCTCTGGTTGAGAGCTACCTCAGTCTTACGGAGACTTCCATCACAAAATTTATGATTAGCGGAATTGAGAAAGAATCATGGACTCCCATACCAGGCGAAGGACCGCAAAACGGTGTGCCTTTTGAGCTCATTCCACTGTCAGCTTGCTTTTCGCTATTGTAAGGGTTGCTGTGACCAAGACTACTCCGAAACGACACATGAGTTCGGATATTTATGTAGGGTTTATCGATATCACTTAATAGTTACCATTCCTCAGATGCAATCAAACACGTATTATTTTCAAATGGAAAGTGCGCAAATGGGCATCGTCTCGTGCCCAGTTCTATCTTTTCTTCAACGATAGCATAAGCCTTTTTCCACACTTCTAGCTCAAAAAGCTAATTATTTAGAAACAGTGCTTCAGTTCTAGCCGTAAACAACAAAGGCACCCATCGGTGTCACTTAGACGTAACTTTAAAGATGTCGGCGCTGTAATTGCACCTATCACCACTTTCACACTCATATTTGGTTTGTGCATTGAAATAATTTATCGATGATGTTGCCTCAGTGGTTAAGTCGGGCACAATCTCTTAAAAGCATATCAGCAGTAACTCCTCTACATTTATGCTGCCGTGTTCACAAGTGGCAGTGTTGTTTGCATGACTCCGTATGCTACGAATGGACCCAATTTAAAGTATTCAATTTGCGCGTTATTCCCTACTTGAGAGGTACTGAATGAAATGCGCCTGAAATTTGCTAAACAGAGTTCCTGTTTTCTATCTCAAGCCCTTACATTCCTTTTAAAGCATTTTGATGGGCGTTGAACCAACTTTTCTCAATAGCTTTGTAGTAACTTGACTTCTCGAAGGATGTCATTCCGGTTTTGTAATCTGTTCTAGTTGCGTCAAGTAATGACCTTAATGTGGGCTCTTCTGTTAGTTCACAAACACATCCTGACACCGACAATGAGAGCTATCGCTCCTTGAACATAAGGAGGCAAAACCGATCGCTACGCCAAACACCCACAGAAGATGTTATCGAGGAGGCTGATAATTCCCCCTCCCCGATCCATAATGGTCTCCATCCAAGCTCCACTAGACAGGTTCGCATCTCCAAGTCCTCCAATGTCGGTCCGACAAGTGCTTTTCTCGATGTGCTTTCTCGAAGCCGTCCTCTGGCCTTTGTCTCGCATGTCATGAATCCTAGTGCATCTATGCGGTCGTCAGCCGTAAGCGCGGGTCGGCGGTCCATCGTGCTTATTACGCCAATGCCAAAAAATTCTGGTTTTGGCGATAACGATCAAACTACCAACGGTGAACAAATGGAGCATTTTGAATTGGCCGCAGAATTAATTTGTGCTCGATGTTGTCGCACTGTTGGGTCGCTGATATTCAGGCTTTACGCCCTCAAGGATTTTATTGCTGAGCTTGGATGGCCAGAGCGTATCAGAGCTGCAGGTTGGGCTGAAAAAACCAGGAAGATGTGCTCGAGTCTTCTTCGAGAGGCGGCCAAAAGGTTTGTTTAGGTAACCATTTTCTGTTATTTTTCTAAAAGCCTATTCCTTATCCAAGTTTCGCTTCGTTTCACTCTTGCAGAACGTTAGTTGAACTGGACTTACACCTTCGTCAGGCGAACAAATCGACGGATTTCATTGTGCCATTGGAGTGCCTTACTATGATCAACACAATTACAGCCATTAGAATGCAACTCTTTTCACTGTGTCATCGGCACGAGTCTGAAGTCACAGGCGATGGTCAACAAGGGACTAGATCAGACAGCTCTGGTGACGTCTCCATTTCGCAACCATCCTCGGTAGGAGCTGATTGGTCAAGGCCAAATTTAACTTTATTTAAGCTGTCACCCTTAGTAATATTGTTTAAATGTTTCAGAAATTTCCGATAGCAGTTTTGAAAATGATGTCGACTTTCATGAACTCTAGCATGGCTTCTGAATGATGAGAGTCTAGGTTTACGAGAGCAAGGTTTCACCCTTCCAAACTTTTGTCTCTGATGCGTCACCTTTGTAACTCATGGGTCGCTTCCATTAGCTTGTCACATGAATACACCTAAGTTCGTCTTATGGTGGTTAGGTTTTTTCATTGGGGCTTTTTTTGTGGTGCCTTAATTTACGAAGTACGACTTGGCTTTAATGTGTTTACTCATATTTGTCTTCACTGCTTAGTCCCTCCTCTCATAGGCGGACCCTAACTTGGAGTTTCCTTTGAATTCTCTCTTACCAAATCAATTTGTGTTCTCCATCCAGGTGCGGATGTACACAGAGACAGAAGCATTCTTGGAAGGCGTTCATCGACAAATGAGCGTTATTCTCACAGACCACTTGGCGTTCGTTTTGTCTACTGTACTCAACAGACTGGCGAGATATGATGAAGGCAACTTAATCTCCTCTATTCTTACATTAGCGGTTGGTCATTCTCCATTTTTATGCTTATGTCCGTTTCTGTGTGCGTCGAGTAATTTCTATTCCCGAAAATATGCTGCATTATGTTTTGAGTTGCTTTGCTACACCCTCATTATTGCATTTTTTTAAAACCAGAGATTCTTCATTTATTTATATCTCCTCCTTTCAGAAACCCGTGGATGAAGATGGTCGAAATTACGCACAGTTTATAAGTAGCAATCTTCAAATTCTGTGTCAGAATCTTGTTGATGACGTCTATTTACTCTCAATATTCGAGGTGAGTTTGTGAACGTCAGTAAAGTAGTTTTCATCATTAGAACTGGTACACGACCCAACTACGCCTGATCCATGAATGGCTCATGCAGAGACGCACTAGCGTTTTACATCCCTACCAAATAAAATGCCTTGCGACAATTGTGAGGGTAAGTTTGCCTGGAAACGTTGGTAAACTAACACTTTCGTAGAAGGCATTCTCGGACTTCGAGCTTCAAGGTGTGGCCACTCATGTCCTTGAAAACATGACCTACAAGAATGTGTGTCACCGGCTTCAGGTACCTGTACCACTAGTTACTTGTTTATTTCTACTACGTTTTAATACAATGACGACTAAGGCTAATTTTACCGCCACTTAGCTGTGCCACCTAATGTACAGGAGCCGGATAGTGTAAAATGTTCTGTGTGCTGGTTAATTTCGGTCTTTTTCTATTAAAGCTGCTAATTCTTAAATTTATAGTCATTTTCAACCTATATGAACTTGTTCCTTTGGAATGACATGTACTTTGGAGTCCGCAGTTTTGATTTTGTGGAATCTCACTTTTCAATGTATCCTTATCATGTCACTAAAAGTGTGGTCACGATCAGGCATTGTCCACCCATTGAATGTGAGATTGGGATTGTAAAAAATGACCTGACTTGACCAAGCTTAGAACAGCGAAAATTGGATAGGCTCAGGGCAGAGTCGCTCTTGTTAACCCAATGTTTGTTCATCTAATCCACTCGTTTATTTGGTAGTCGTTTATTTGTGGTCCAAAATGTTAGTTGTTGTTTTTTGTGCTAACATTTCCAGCGTAATTAACGTATACCATATGAAAACGGCCTCCTTTTCTCAGATACTTGTGCGTAGCTTATTCATTGAGGAGGAGTTCTCAAACCTAAGTTCTTGAAGATTGCAACATGGCTTATGTTTTCATTATCAGCAGTCGCATTGGTTTTACCTGAGGGTTTTATTGAACCAAATCGGCGATTGTCATAGGTGCTGATGTTTGCATAGAAGGATAGGCCGAATCCTTTTGAGGTTCCAATCGGGATAAGCAATTGGTAGACTTCGTTGTGGATGCCTTTATAATTAATGTAACGAGTGCGACGATGTATGGTCAGCGTGTACGGATCCGGATACTAAAGCGAAGGATCCGCTTGAGCTTGCTTTAAGACACCTAATTATAACAACTGAATTGCCTTGGGTAAGGCTACGACTACTCTATTTGGGTCAATCAGGAAGGAGTGAGGCGCGACTCGGGTATGTTCACTTCTGGGGAATCGAATAGTAACATTTGTGTGAAATTGAAGACATTTTAACGGTTGCCTTCTATGCTGTTTAATTTGTAGGTGGGGTTCGACACCAGAAGCACTATGAAATCCAGCAGTCACTGTTGAACATTCTGCAAACTTCAGTTGTAGTCAATTATTTTCGTGCTCTTTAAAACTTCCCAAAAATTGAATTTGTTTGCCTTACGAGGAACGTAGACGTGATCGTCTCCTATGATTAAGATTAAGCACTATTTCTTTCGGCGCCTTACAGGTTGAGGAGGCAACATTGTCGGTATCATCCAGTGCGCACGACAGGCCTCCTTCGTCGTCGCCGTCGTCCGCAGCAGACGGCCGTCAGAATCTGATTCGAGCTATTGGTGATGGACTGAGTACTCTTGCACAGGGCGCAGGGCTTCGACATCGACAACTTTGAATAAAAGTATGCCTAACTATACCTCGGTCTTTCATTAACTTTTCCGCTCGCGATGCACCTTCATTGTCCTTTGGTTATTGTTATGATTTGCTGTCACTACTATTATTGTTGCAATTGAGAAGCAGAGTCGAAACTATTTCTGCTGATTTATCATCCTGGATACCCTTCTTTCCCCATTCCCACTTGCTTGAATGTTTCACAGAAATGCTATGTCTACGATGCACAAAATTGTAATCAACACAATCTGTCGAAACGACTCTTCATTGGGTTCTCTTGGGCAGCTCCCACTCGCGCTCTTTTTTCCGCTTCCTAGCTTCCGTGTTCTAGTCCCTATGTGGACATCATTGTCCATGCTTCTTAGGTTATTTCATTGATGGGTTACTAGTGATGTGGAAGTATGCATAATTCTCATGTCAAAATACGCGCAAATTATAGCTCACATTCCCCCTTATGAGTGGGATGTAGCGTACAACGAAACATGAAAACTCCGCCAAGGTCTTGTTTTAAATTAGTGCCGCTGATGACGCAACCATAGTATTTAATACCTTAACTGTAGCATCATCTTCATATCCTACAGCAGGAGGTTGAACCCAATGGCGCTCACGACAGGCATGCACATCTAAGCCACAGATGCTATTTGACATACCCCTTGCCTTTCTGTTTTTACCTTTCTTGGAATGCCCAAAAATCGTTTTGGAATAATCCTCTTTCTAAGGAGGCTGCGACGAAAGACGTGAAAGTCAGGAAGGAAGCTATAACGCTAAAAGCTAGACGCTTTAGTGCATAATAGACAAATGTAGACAATTACGGGGCGGAATTTGCAACTCAAATGCAGCAAATGAGAATCAAAGGCGGAAATTAATTATATGAAGAGTTATACGTGCCTGTACTATTTAGCTTTTGAATGCCGGTTTCGCTTGGGGTTGCTTAAGAGGTCACTGCAGCGCTTCAAGGCTTCTCTCGGGTGGAAGACGTCATGCTTGGCAAATGCATTAACTCCAAGAAAGGGAGGAGGGATCGGATCGTGGCATGGCTCAAACGCCAACCCCTTCCTGCTGGGACAAAACGAGGGACAAAGTAACCACTAGACATCAGGTGATCACGTATATAAAGTAATACAGTCCAGTGTTTCTTCCAGGTGAGCTGGCCTCCGACCCTGACAAAAGTCCGATCATCTTAGCTTGGAAAAAATGCATGCATTCAAATTAAGTGCTCTACGATAATCTTAGAATTTCTGCATAATGAAACGAGTCGTTATGACCGTAATTTGATGACTTGTATAGCCGTCTTGTATATGCCAAACACATCGGCAGTTTCTTTTTACTTGTGGTAGCAGAATATGCTTTCCAGGACTTAGTCGAAAGTCGGTGCAAATTACAGAAATCAATCAAGACGTTGAACCATATTGCTTAAATGTTTTCATATTGCATAGCTGATGATAAGAGAAAAAGTTAGGACAAAACAGAATGTAAAAAATCAACGCATAAATTTGTTTTGTTTTCTTGAGTTTGTTTTAGTCGCGCAATTTGAGGGCTGCTGCTGCGTGATCGTGTGTACTTGGAATAGGGTAGATTATGTCATTGGAGGATTTCTTCAATAAGAAAAGTAGGAAAAAGACTAAAAAGACGATCAATGCACAGGAGCTATTCGAGCAAATTACTGACGGGCCACTTCGTCAAAAGACTGACCCAGAGAAATGCACGGATGAAATGGTCGTTGCAAATTCTGATGATATTGGCGAATGGGAGCCGATTGTTAACGACGATATTGAACTGGACTTCTCAAACATACGCATCAATGATCTGGCTACGATAAAAGTGGAGGAGGAGCAAGCTGCTGCAAGTAATATCAACCCTACAAGCAAGGCCGATGATTCTAAGATTGTTTGGGGAGGGAAAGTAAAGAAAGGTGAGAAGTTTGTTATATGTTTGGGGTCTGTACAGATGGGAGTGGTCTTTGGATCGTTTTTTACGCGGTTGCTGTTGGTTATTTTTATTTAGAGGATCCTGAAATAATTGAGGAAAGTGCACCGAAGTCTAATGTCTACGTGCCTCTTCCCTTACGATCTGCCAGATCAAACCTAAAAGCATTGCCTAATTTGGAGAGCACAGAGGAGTTTCCAACTCTCGACGCTGCTGCTCAGGAAAAGTCAAAAAAGAATGTTTCGACGGACAGTCGTGACAGTTCATGGGTAGAGGTGAGCCGGAGCTCTGTGCCTCGTCGTAAGGAAGGGATCGGGGTTTCCGGTTCCTCTTATGCTTCCTCGAATTCTTATCGAGAAGATACGTTATCATACAAGCACTCATCGTTTGGGTTCCGTGATAGTTGCTCTTCTCGGGGTGTCGGTTCCTCATCAGGAGGTGCCTGGTCTCGTGGTGAGGCCCTTAAAAATAAACCAGTTAGTTCCGCTGATTCCTTACCCGCGTTCAAAATGAGTCCGTGGGAACGCAAACCCACTCCTAGGTAAGTGAGCTGATTTCGAGAGGGCCAGGCTAAAATTTTGCAGAGCCCATTTCCACTTTCACAATCTTCATACGAAATTCATTATGGTTAATTGCACTCGCTTTTAGTTCGGGAACCTCCAAACCTTATGTCGTTCATCAGCAAAGAGACATCCTATCTTTCACTCAAGAAAATCGCTTTGCTCAGCTGGACAACTCTTAACCATATTTCTGTTTTGGTTGTGGAGCTGTTAACTTTTTTTTTCGGGTACAGTGCATAAATGCGTTACTGATTTGTACATTTATGTCTGCGATGTATCTATGCTATCAACACTCATCAATCACTCATGCTGTTCCTCCTATTATTTTTTTTGACAGGACTCTTGAGTGCGTGCTCATCGAAAGATTTACTGTTGCCGGTGTAGAGCCTAATCGGTGATGGTAATTTTAAACTAGGCTTTTCACTGTACTAACAATCTAATTTGTCTTCTTCATTAGGTGTCCCAACAATTTTTTGGTGTTAGATGCGGGTCCGTATCGATCAAACTCTGTTTGGGAGCATGACCTAGTCCTATTTATGAGGCAGTTTCAGCGGCCCTCCTTACAAAAATGTCCAATATCGTTGCTTTGTTTAGCCAACTCCTAGCTGTTAGTGAATGTAATTGCGAAGTCAATATGGCATACATATTAAATGTGGCATTTAGTTTAGAAAAAAGCCAGGTTGGACTGCGGCGGTTAGCAGTTTCTCCCTCATTTGTTCTGCTGTGTCGTATTCTGGTAGTTTTAGGTAATGCATGCATGTGTTCACGCTGGGGTAGGGTCCAAAGGCGCTTGCATCCTTTTTTGCTACCTGGAATCAAAATTGCGTTTTAGGGTCCTGGTGCTTTAGTTCGCTTCGTGAAACCCAATTCTGACCTTTATTTTGGGGTGGAGGTTTCTAAATCCGCCCGGTGGCAGATTAGGCGACCCAGTCACAAATCTCACGAAACACTTCCTCTCAGTTCCTGTAAAGTTTGACAGAACCTCTAGAAGCATTAAGTAACTGGCCGATTGCTGTGTGTAGCCGGCAACGGGTTCAAAGGCAGCTAGCAATTCTTCATGTGTCCATTTATTTGGCAACATGTCTCCTGATACTAGCTGATCCAGCTCCTCGGGAGTGAAGACGGCTAACGTGCTCAGCGGAAAAACTAAATTGAATCCATCTAAAGGGAAGAACGCGGACCTGTCGTTGACAATTCGCTTCACAAATAGAAGTGACGTTTTGTTGTAGTAAAACAGCCTTCCGTTTAGGTGCTGAACTGAATGATGGTTTGCGATGGTTTGATTCAACAATATGCATGCTCAACGAGGAAAATCCATACCTTTCATGGCCTCCATTTGTTTTCTGATCCCTTTTTCCATTGCGAAATCAATTGATCTTTTTATGTAAATTTCCAGGTTCCCATGGTCTATCGCCTCCACTTCTTCTGTATTCTGTTGGGGCTCGATGCAAGATTTTGGGTTATCCCAACCATAACTGTCCTCCAGTCTAAATGAGCTTTGACCAAACTTCTAAATAATGAAAACACTAGAATCATGAATTTTATGCACCTCTTGCCAAATCATCTCGTGTCGGGATGCATACTGCTGCCTAACAAAGCTACTAAGCCTTCTAATGAACGTTTTAGTAGTTGCCAAGGTGCCAATCTGAAAAATACTGAAAGTCCATGCACTCAGGTAATTATCCAAATAAGTCGGAGCAACAGGTTGGTTGAACCGTGTCTAAACCTGATGAAACTCCAGTAGCCCTAATCTAGTTAATGCACACGCATGAATAATTTTATCGGTGGAACTAATAGGTATAACAGTAAGCTAGAAGATCATTAGCAGAATTTACCGTAGTAGCTGAGGGAAATTCCATAGTAAGGCAAAGGTCGGATAGTTTCGACGAAAGGCACTCAACTTCGAGACGTTCACGTTCCTCCGGGGTGAGCGCTCTATTTTTTGCGCAATTTAAGTACTTGAGGCACAGTAAGAAGAATTTGCCTTGTTCTGGATAAATTTCCGTGAAATCCTCCAACCTTGATGCCAATTCGCACTTTTCGGCTTTTCCATCATCAATTAGTAATTTCAGAAAACTCGTCGAAAAATGCAGATCCATCCGGCGTTGATCCTTAGTGGAAAATTAGTTAATTGTAAAGTTCGTGTCAAGTGCCACACATTGTTAGCGACATCGCTGTATTTGCTCAGGACTCGACAGTTTCTGCTATTTGGACTTCACTCAATAATAACGACAATATTACTAATAATAACAACCATTCCTGAAAGCAGACACACATATTTTTTTTATTTCGTTTCGGTCTGAGCTTATTTACCAGTCGAACAAGTTCCAGATCATTGTAATGACCGTATATCTATTATTATTATGGTGTAAATTTTTTTAAAAACGGTTTAATCCTAACCTTTTAATGTTTAAGAGTCTACCACTTTTAACTACCTGAAGTAAACTGTAAGATTAAGTTCCTAAATTGAATGTGAATGCTGGAGAGTGCTCTGCCTACTCAGTATGCTTTGGGGTAGAACTAAGCTGCGTATTTTGAGGCGGTAAATTTTATCAGCCATTTAGTTCAAGATTTGACTACCGATGTGAGGCAGAGATGTTCAATCAATGTATGAAGCACGCCACCTTCCTCGCTCCTAATTCCGTGAGTAAACTTTGTTCTCGGTAAAAAATACTTCACTTTCTAAATGGCCTTTTGAAGAACCAGGTCATGCTTTGACAACAGAAATAACAGGTGCCGAAGTAAAACGACCACTCGGAGAAGGAAAACTTTATTAAAGCAGATTTACAACAATATAGTAATTCTAGTTGCGAAAATTCGTGCTACCAATGAGATACATGAACGATAAGGTACAATACTGGATGTGAGGATGAAAATGAAAGGTGGCAAAAATTGTACCCACCTGAAGACACTTGGCAAGGGCAATGCCGAGGACGTGGAAACGTTCTTCCGCTCCCGGTGGCAGGGCGTTCGCTGGCCATGCAGAAGGGAAGAGGCCATTTATTGGACATACGTATGTCATCTCCAAATCATTCATTCTCCAGTCCTTGTCCAAATTGTTCCTTCCAACCATGGCTTCCATAGTCCTTCTAAAACCTTTTTCATTACTAGCGTAATCGGCCACCCATATACAATGCGATTTTCGCCTAGAAAGAAAACAATCTTGAACAGACACTTTCTCTAAAACTATAAATAGCTGACACCTGTTTGCACTTTGCCGACTTTTTACAGTAAAAAAAAGGGAGTAGACTGCATACATTCCTCATTTGAAAAGGAACTTAATCGTCTCCTCCTTGATCGGTCAAATTTAATTAACCAAATTTTCCTTAAGAAACTGTCTGGAAGACTGTAATTAAAAGATAACTAAGACTCTAATGGAACATAAAAAGAACTTTAGGCAAATAGTGCTGAGAAAACCAAACAAAAGTTTGTACTTCATCTATGCACATATCAGTACACCACTTAATTTACGGCCTCGAATCTCTGTACTCGACAGCAAATAATAGATAATTTTATATTGTTTTGCTAACATTTGAAACAACCTTTGAAGCCTACGGCGTATTCTTCTAACGCCTAATGAAATGGGCAAACTTAGTTTGAGGTCTAATGAATGACTAAACCGCTAATCGTTGACTCACATCTTCATGAACGTTTTGTGAAGCGGGACGGGTTGTCAAGTTTGGTTGAAATTTTGAAGCCCCATTAAATTGCAGCAACTTTGTGCATAATGCTAAATTTTCTTGAACACCGGAGAAAATTTGTGTCAACACTCCTCAACAATTTCAGTTTTTGTTCATCAATTTGACTAATTGTCATGCCTTATTCCAGATATAATTATCTTGAGCATATCTTTTAATTTAAATCACTTTATTGGTTTTTTAAAGATTGAGTGAAGCATTGCAAATGAACGGTGTGCTACTTTGTTTTTCCGACTGTTTGTTTCGGGAGTGGTTACTGATGTGGTGGACCAGCCTACGATCCACGCCAGAAGCTTCGGCCTTATTTCCTCTTACTGAGTGCATACATTCTACTTGAGCCCTATGCCTTTGCTTAACCATGGAGAAGTCTTGAGATGCTACAACAGAGTTTTCCAAAAAATCATAGAAGTAGATTCGACCTACTTCTCAATTAAACTTCGAAAATTCTAAAACAAGGCTCAAGTTTCTTAAGAAACAAATGTTCAGCGTATCAAACAGATTTTAATTTGCAACACGTTGAACGCTTAATGTGCATATATATAATGATGTGAAATCCATGATGCAGTGATGTGATTACCACAAAGAAATTTTTAAACTTACATCAACTCAGCAGAAATTAATGCATAAAACTCCATGGTCGGTCCCAATCCGGTGCCCTCCTCATCCTCGAACCCAACCTCGAGCTCCTGCTTTCTTACAGCGTGTGAGGTAAGAAGCTGCACTGTGGAGCGCCAAAAGCTACAATTTTCGTTCTCCGTATCCGACGGTCGAGGGACGCTAGCAACCTCTCGCTGCAAGCGGCCCAACATCTTGAGACCATTGGTATGGGGGTAGAAGTGTGAGTAGTTTGATGAGCTAGTGGCAGTGCTGGAACAAAATCCTAGTGAAGACGACTGTGAATAGGGTAAACCGTTGAGTGACTCTGAAGTGAAAAAAATGAAATATAGCACTTAGGATTAACTAATTCCTCAAAATTAATATGCCAAGCGGAACTGTAACATTCTACTTCAACTAAAAATTCTATGGTGGCTTGACAACATAACCTTTGAAATTACATGTAGTGGAGTCCAGAAGGGCTGATTTTGCAGTCCCAATTTATAACCGTAAGCCTTTTGAATAATTGTAACCTTTAATTGGTTCCAGAGCCCAATGACATTGAATTAACAATGCAAATTTGCATAGACTTCAACCATGTATGGAAGGCAAAAGTTTCTATTCGGGAGGAATAAGCAATTTAAATGCATAACTTCAAAGCCGTCAGCAAACCTCACATTCAGGATAGAACGTGTAGCAGTTGTTGACGGGCCATACACACATTATTCCGATCAATTTGCATTTTGATAATGCGATAATATGCTGAAATAAGTAGTGATAACCAATATCTTACTGGATCGGCATTATTTTGTTTCAACTTTCAAATCCACCTAATTTTCTTGAAATAAAATAAAGCATGTGTATATTGGTGTATTTAGCTTGCAAGTGACAACTATCATGTGATCCAGTCGGCCAACCACCTGAGTACAAAGCTTGAAGAAAACAAGAGATTATATGCCCTCATTTGACAAAATATACGTTGACCAAAATGCAAGTGTGCGCATTTCTACAACTTTGACAAGCAGTCCTGATTATGGCTTTCATTGTGATGCAAAAAAACCTAAGTCTTGGTATTCGTCCGATTCATTTGCCTATTCCAGAAATGTTGTAGTACTCATAATGTTTACGGTTGGGTGACTACCATCTATGAAACGACTATCTGGATAAGTGGAATCATTGCCAGATTCTTTCTTTAGGTTGAGAAGCATTGATGGTCTCCATAGATAGCTGAAGTCGGAAGCAGCAAACCGAAGCTTTGATTCACCATCGGCGTTTCGAGAACATATACCCCGAGTCGTACCAGCACTTCCAAAGGAATTGCCTATAAGCTGTTTTTGCTGCTGCTGCTGAAGCCAGACAATTGACCTGTGAATGAGAGATTGCACTCTTTTTATCGCCGTACTTTATGGTTAATTCTTTTTTATTCACCTTGCTCAGCGTTGGGTATTAAATTATAAAGCTATGCTTCTCTCGTAAAAATGGAAAAGTGTGAAAAGGAAATTTGCATCATATTCTGCGCATATCCTTTCAATATGAATTTATAATCCAATTCATTAGAGCAGTTTGGAACTGCACCAACTCGAGATTATTTTCGTGATTACGATTAATGAGGCCTGATAGCATGAAGGGTTACTAATAAATTGTCGCATTAAATTAATGAAGAGTACGAAGTTTCGAATTGGATTAACAGATGATTATTGATTGCTTACTGGAACTTTGTAAGAACTACCTGCTAAGTCCCAAGCTTGTAATCCTCCAGAAATCGACACGTGTAGAGAATGGAAATAAAAAGTGGAAGTTCCGCATTAGCGTTTGACACCAGGTAACCACATTAGCATTATCTTGGTGTTTTTCACCGAAAGCCGTTGTCGAAAGGGGGTGCGCTGCCGCTTGAATAACGGACCACGGATTTCTCATGAATGTTTCAACTTTTCTCCTTAGACGTGATGAGAAGAAGATGTCTTCGGGACAAAACAGTGATTGAGAAATAGGAGGCATAGCGCCGCTTTCAAGAAAGGAAGTTGGTAGCTGTTGGTCTGGATCACTTGGCGACGAAAAACCATAGAGAATACGTAGAAGGTTCAGACACTGTTCGACCAAATCTGCGGCAGTAATTTTATGACCGATAGTGTAATCCGAATGCTGAATAATTATATTTACTTGTGTTGATTGAGTAAATTAGTTATCATCGTAGAACGGAATTTTGTGAATCATACCTGACTAATAAAGGGAAGTTTGTTTACTGATGAGTGAGTGAGTGATTCATTATCCCTGCGTAGTTGCTCAGTGGAAAGTTTGGACGACTTTTTGTCAAAGGAGTAGTAGAGTGTGAATGTCCGTTGACAGTTGCTCAAAGTTGGACTGACCGGTCGCTTTAGTCTTCCACATCCAGGAAACTCTTCAATCACTCCGTCTCCTCCCTAGAGCAAGCAAACCCTATCGTTAGCTTTTTTGTTTCCCCATCTGTACATTCGAACACGAAAATCCTGTCTAATAGTTTGTTAGTAAAAAACCGAAAATTCTAGAACAGCTTAGTAGTAGCCAGCGTCATTTTTTGAGAAATGTAATCGATGAACACATTACATTGAAATTCTGTCTGACACCTTGTTAATCCACCATGGCAGTAAATGAAGTGTTCAAGACCAAACTACACAATGATGTGTATGTTACACAGGCGCCCATTGTCCCAAGTTCTAGAGGTCGAGATTAAACAATACGGATTTATCAGGAAAAGTTGATGAAAAGATAGGATCTTCTAGGCTCCTTTACAGTACATCACAACATCATCCAATTTTAGCAAAAGTGACTACAATTGAAATGAAACACATACTGTCCAGCAATGAAAAATTGGAAGCTCAACATTTGGAAAGGATTGTTGGTCACAAAAATCCGGAACCGTGTTTGGTTCCATTGACTTCATAGCCGATTGTGGTTCCTCATTTTCACTTGAGTCACGCGTATTCCAACTTAGCCACAAATGCAGCCCCTGACTTCTCAGGCCACCTATTCCTCGTGATGCATGCTCGCCTTCGCTAGGGTCGAACGCTACCGTGGCTGGTTGCGATTGGGTACCCGATCTCAAGTCGAAGGGTGGAACGAAGCCAGGTAAATTTGCATCAAGGGTGGTAACCTTGGATGGGTTGGAAATATCGATACCACGTGTGAGGATGTCATATTCGTGAGGGGCGGTTAGGCTACAATCGGTCTCATGGGAAGATGAATCGCGTCCGGCGAGCATCGGGCAGCCATCTTGTAGTGGCCATAATGGCGGTGAACATGACCCATAAAAAGAAACACTGAACTGAAAACTACCCAACCGAAACGCTTCCTCACAACGGGGCAGAATTAGCCGACCAAAAACGGTAGATTCTGAAGCCAAAAGCAAGGATGCTTCCATTGTCGCCAAGGTTGGACTTTTCTAAAAGCAACACTGTAAATTAATGGGGGCAGGAGGTTGTATAATTAGTATTCCACCATCTTAATTGATTTTGAGTGGTACGATAATTACCACAAGGGAACGCAGTTTTTAACTCGGGAAGTATTTTATTGTGCTGCAGTAAAGAGGGAAACTATTATTAAATTAATGCTGTTCTATTAAGTAGTAGTATCCATTGTGGTTGTGAATATTGATCATTAAGACTGAATATTGATCATTAAGACTGACAATAAGCAACAATGTGTTCACCCTCTGGCTGATCATGTCTTCATCCAAACGGTTCGCCGGTGTAGTCGAATTTGGTGCTGTTTTATCGAGTAGTAATTCACGATTCTCATCCATCACATTAGTTGAACTTCCACAAACTGATATGTTCTTGACAAATATTTGTAGGGCAGGGTTTCCATAATCAGGAGTAGCTAGCTCAATCATTGCCTATAAAGATGAAACAATGTTCCAGGTTTTAAAAGGAACCTTCCTCTTTAAACCTCTTTAAATTTAATAGACTAATGCACTAAGTTGAATCTAGTTTGCGCCTTATCGTATACCATGTTAAAAGTGATGGATGTTATTCTGTGTTATAGATGGCAAACTGGCTTAGTAGATTTTATTTAGTTGCCTTTTGGAGTAAAACTACTTTCTAAAACGAAACGTACAAAAAAGCTCTATGGACTTAGTATGTTGATCGACCAAACAGCTTATAGTTTAGAGTACCATAGTACAAAGTTGAGCTACGTAGTTGGCGAATAGCACTCAACGATATGCATTTAATTACCCATTATGCGAACAAGCACGTGAAAGTTACCATCATTAGCTCTTTGAAATATCATGGCTGACATGCGTGCTGAACTAGAATTGCTTGATCTAGAATAAAGCACTTATTTGTAACTGGATTGCAAAAGCATCCTTTCGCAACTTACGGTGTGATTTGTTACTTGACTTGGGAAAATAAATCGAATGGGTTGGCTGTTGTCATTCCTTTCCACTGACGAGCGTTCTATGACCACACAAGATGAAAACCCGTCCTGGGTCGCATTCGGGATGGGCTTGAACCAGGCCACCGTTACATAACCACCCTCAGGCCCCGAAAGAGCTAGTCCCAATGACAATGACGGTGCTTCTAACTCCCAATGTTGATTTTCAACATCATTTTCAAAGGAAGGCGGCCATATTTCTTTTAAGTAGCGTTCTGGAAGCTGGTACTTCTTCAAAACTACCAAATCTCCTGGCTTGATCGGTGTATGATAAAAAGTAGCACATTCGGAAGCGTCAAACTACAAAAAATAGGGTACATTTGAAAAATTTGTCACAATTTAGTACTTGTCAAAACAACAGACTACCTTAGAAGTGACACAAATGCCTTTAAGACGTCCGTAGAATTCAATATTTTGCAGTTCAATGAAGTTTGAAAAGTCCGCACGTTGGATAAAAGAAGACTTGGTAGTACTACCTGGATTTAGATAAGCTTGGGATTCCATGAATCCGAGTTGAGGATGAAGGAGACTGATCAACCAGTAAAAACGGTAAGAGGTTCGAGGGAGGTTCACAGCCCACGTTCGCTCCCCTTGAGAACTCCAGTACGCAGACGGAGTTTGGCCTTGGGGATGGACATGATGCTCAGCGAGCAGATCCCATGATTTTCTGTCGGAAGAAGCCTGTTATGAAGAAGGTTATGCGAATTATGTCAAAGCCAGAACTATCACCAAATTCCGTAGTCTTTAAATTTTACTGAGTCAGTAACTGAGAAGCAGCTTATAATCCTATAAATCGTGGTCATGATTATTGAAATAATTTGAAAATTTGCCATCTGAAGCTATTTTTCTAAAGATAATCCTGCCTATTGAATTCTTAGTTTTTCACATTATGCATAGCTCAGATCATTTCATTCACATGTTCGATCATACAGAATTTCAGTCACATCCTTAAGTTAAGAAAATGGTAAGTAATCAGTGTTACCAGCAGCTTCCAATGCTGTAAACGAGGCCACTGGCCGGAGAACATCGGAACCTTTATACAGTAATGACTTGTTTCTAACAGGACTCCCGTGTCAATAAAGATCCAGGGCTGGTTTAGCAGCGAAAAGCCATGACTTTGAGACCCGCGCGAGTTGATCTTAATCCAGGCAAGTGATTGAGTTTGAACCAAGTCGTCATCACTCCTACTACTGTCTTCTTTGTAGATTATACTACTCAGGTAGAACGGTCGATTGTTGAGCTTGGTGTCTGATGTGATTATCTTTATCACTTTGAAGAAGCGGGCGGGGTTAGCGCGATTTTTTGGTTCGCGACCACCATTTGTGCTAAGCCAATGAAAAATGCCACCGAAATAGACCTTTGGAAGAGTACGAGTTCCAACTTTATTGACATCCCATTCTGGATTGGACACCTCAATTAAAGGTACAAGGTAGTCGATCAGAAGAGATTGACAAACATTTGTGCATCATATGAATTTTAATTTTTAATTGATTGAAAGGCCAAATTTTCGTCAAACATTTATCTTACTACCTGTCGATTTTCCTGAAATCCTCACTTTCATGCATAAACATCTTTCGGGTAGTTATAACTGGATAAACCCAAACAATAATCAAGGTATGATGAATTTTGATATCAATACAACTATTGAAATAGTGTAATGTTAGTCTTTACACTTTATACTTAATGAAAAAAATGGTAAACAAAGGTCAAAAGTCATGATGACAACATTTTAATCTTTTTGGTGATGTTTTGTAAAGGCATAAAAAACTTATTTGGATTACGTTATGAACGTTGTCTGAAGTTAATCGAGGACGAAATATCAATAACGGTGCCTCTAGAAAAAAAGGCGTACACTTGTTTGCAGAGGCGCAAGGTGTATCTCCTGATCTGGTTTTGATGCATCTTTCATGAATTCCATGTTTTCAAGTGCATCCATGTGCCTTTAAATGGAATGAAACATCCTCAACAGTGTAAGTATGGCATTATTTTAGCCATCACAGTTTAACCGGACCATGAAAAATAAGCAATGGATGAATTCATGAATTCGTGATCCCAATTTATAGTTGGCAAAAATGTTCCAGCTTTCAGTGACATTTGAAGAGGCATATTCCTTGGTGGAACTAACCAAGGAGAATGGTCAATCTTATCTAGAAGCCAATTCCGTAGTTGTTGGAAAGTCACTAGTGGGGCTGTGTAGATGCGATAGTTGGAGAGGTCAACTTTTCTTTGATGTACTTGTCTACAAATTGTTGATGGAGCCTGAGCCCTCAAGCTATCTTGCAGTTTCGGTTGCAAGTAAATGGAGCGCTGAACAAGCTGTTCATAGGATTCGCCAAAGTTCGGCAAGGCTAATGAATACCTTTCGAACTGTAGAGAATAAACACTAATGACTTTTCAGAAAAGATTTAATGTCCATATGTAGGCCACATGCATTAATGTTATTCTCTTGTTCATTTTCTACGACCGGATGGCCAAAACTAGTTTGTAAATCTAATATTTTTGTCTATGAATCGCTAAAGCAATAACTGTGCATGTACCCGTGGATCGGGTTCCCAAAGTAGCGCAGTTGTTTTACAATCATAAATTCCTTACAATCCTTTTAAATACATCTTGTTTTTAATTAATTATTGCTAATCATACTGAATAAACCCTTCATAAAAGTGCGCATATGTGACGGCATCGAGCTCTTCTAAAACCAAGGCAAATGGGATAGTTGAGACGTACCAACATAAACTCACCAGCTCAACTGTTTCAATAAGTTTTTTGGTGAGGACTTCCGAACCATTCTGAAATAGGTTTTGTAAAAAGTGCTGCTGGGTTGTGAAAATAAGATTATTGCAGGCCCTGGAATCGCCGAATGAACACGAATCCTTTAGACCATCGTGTGAACAGTTCTGGAGAGCAAGAAAGGCGTGATGTGCCAAGATAACAGAGTATTTTGCTAAAATTTGGGCGCGAAACTAAGAAAATCACAAATTGTAGACCGTTTCAGACAATTCAGATCTACGGGAAACACTTTTAAGTTAACTCCAAACAAGTGAAAGACGAGTTCGCAATCGGTATCGTTCCACCAATTAGTTAGTCCCAACAGAATGAAAACTTTTGTTAAAAAGTCTATAATAAGCGCAATTAAGACCATCTCGGTTGGATTTAATGCTAAAGTATCGCTACTTGAGAAGCTCATTTTTAAGTCAGTTATCTGTTTGCATTTATAGCTATGCGCAAAGCTATTATGACTAAATAGTTTTTATTAGTGCTAAATGACTGGAATGAAACTGAACTCATCAGCCATAGCAAATGGGAAAGGCGATCACTATATTGCCATGCAAGCTGCGAAGCCTAATTATGCCTCAGTCTTACACATATGACTGCCACTAATTTTGAAATCCAACCTATTGGAGAAATAAATACACGTTTGCGAAAGCAATTAACAACTTTCGCGAAAATGCCATTATGAATTGAAAAATTCACTATTTTCTCAAGTAAAATTAAAAATGAACGTCAGTTGATCAGTCCTAGAAAGACTATGGTCACGGCCGTGCATTTTCAGGCTGAACTTGATGTCAGTATTACCTTCTGAAACGGACTTAAACTAAAACAAAAAGGAAACAATAGCAAAAAATTTTGTTAAGGTGTTACTTCCCCTACCTCAAATAGATTCAGTAGAGCTGGAAGCACACCAGAAGCAACAACCTCGTAGGGTGTAGCGTCGGCCATGAAATCACGGAAGGCGGGGCACTGAGATAAATCAGTTTTGTACATGTTGCAATCAGATCTTGTTATGTATTCGCAATTCTTCGCTATGTTCATAAGAATTGACATGCATTTACTGTACCCTGCGGTAGCTTTGGCTTTCAATGTTTTTAGAAGCTCGGTCCCTCTTTGAATGAAGCATTTACGAAGTTTCAGAAGGTAGCAACTGCGGTAACTAAAAGTTTAAACATGCAATTTATGAGGCTCTTTTGTTGGAATGATTTAACCTACAAGGTCCGAAATAGCTTTCTTTGACTGAGTGTCGGGGACTCAAGAAAAGGATGCAGTCTAAAAGATGCATTAAAAAAGAAATGCCTACATTTGGAACCTGCCTGTTCGTGAAAAGGCGTTAGTTTTATAGATCAGTAAACCATCTGTTCCAAAAAACCTCACACCGCCTGATCCTGACGGGCTGATGATAATTTTCCCCAAGTTAGTACTATCTGGTAGGGTTTGGTTTAATGCTTCTTGTTTTGCTTTATCCTCAATCAAGTTCCTCGAAAAAGGTTTAAAAAAATCCGGGTCGAATTCTCCAGAGCATTCAATATGATTGCATATAACCATCTCATTGTCGTCAATTGCTAGTGCTTTCAGATACGGCTCTGCTTCCACATCTTTCCTCAGGCACACTACTAGCCCTGATGAACTGATGCTCAAGGAGAGAAGTCCTACTGTCAAACGGTTTAGTTGATTAATCTTGGTTTGAAAATCGCGAATTTCATTGGATGTAAAATCAATCTCTGCAGTGCACGAAAGCTTCTGGGTGTCTTCCGAAGTTGCAGTATTTGGATAACTCTGAGTTGATGTCAATGATTCCACAAAGGGGGTATTATCAACGAACACGAGTTCTTTACTGATAGCAGGAGAAGTCTCTTTCACATCAAAGCCTCCGTTCTCAGGATCAACCTTACCAGAAGATACATCAGTTTCTTCGACAGGGAGGTTACCCTTTCCCCCGAGAGGCAGAGTACTGCAGGCACCGTATAAGGCCTCTGGAATGGACGTCTTTCCTTGTCCACACTTGAGAGGCAAGGGCAAGACACCTACTTTGCAACTGCAAGTCCTCATTATGCACGCCTGACATTTTAACCATTGGGAGGTTGGGTCTAAATTATCATATTATCACATGTGTTATCACTAACACTATTGGGAGAAAAGTTGATGTAAAATTATGAAACAGGACGAAACTGGGTACAAGAGGCTTTGCAAGTTCAATCCCTTCATGTTAAAGATTAAGTGGGCAATATGACACTTCTGTTTTAAAAATGACTGCACATTCGCTGGAAAGTTTATATTTAGACTGCAACTTAATTTATCCTTGGCAAAGTTATAGCTGGTAATGTGGGATTAACTATTGGATCGACCGGATTTTAGAGTGTATTTGTTCTTTGCCAGGTTGAATTCATGGTATGATCATGACAATCCTGGGAATTACCCTTGTTATCTTGAATCTGGCCGACCTCAGCACTTGAACAGAGAATAATCGTTTTCGCCACAAGCTTCCCCACTTTGTCCGCTCTACTCTGATTTAGCTTAGCAGTAGCTCTCAAATCGTAGCCCTTCGTGCTGTCGGAACGTGTAAGAAGGGTTGCGAAAATTATTGGAGCTGTTGGATAGTCTTGTATTTGACGCAGCTTCACTTCAATGTGTAATGCTGCATACTCCTGCAGTATAAAGACGGAAGAATTCCCGCTCCGTGAAACAAACCAGTCTCCAAACTGGTAAGTTTGATCCCAGCTGATCTCATAGATGCATTGTGGTTTCGATCTCAAGTGTCCCTTTAAAAAGGTTCTTTAGGCATCAAGTGATTCCTTGGATGAATTGGTTTAATTAAGGAAAATTCATGTTTAGTCCTAATTTCTTTAATGCATGGGGGTGTAAATTTATGCATGGACAACCTACTTAGGCAAGCCTGAAAAAAGGTTCAAGAACAATGCTAATTTTAAGAGTTTTCAGGTGCATAAGTGGCCCTTCATGCACACACAAAGTGCATATATCATTGTCATTAATGGGGACGGTGGAAACACACAACAGTAAACGTCCTTAGTGGCGAAGCTTGGATGACCAAATAAACTCTATTTGAGAAAGGTAAGTGGTTAAGTTCAATATAGTAAAATAAGAGCACAGGTTTATCATTCCCCTCTTTTCTAAAACTTACGTAGTTGCTCGGAATTTCAATGCTTTCTTGATGTGCCGCCTGCAAGTTAATTCAAAGCCAATAAAAACTGTTTTTATGGTTGGTGGGATGGTAACTGAGTAAGACATGCCTCTGGATCGATGAGATCGTCAGGAAGATAATTATCCCACTTTTCCTTGTGTTCGCTTACATCTTGTGAATTTCCCATCAATAGGACTTCGGCCTCTATTCGCCATGAAAGGAAATCAAGCACACCGTGACGCTGCAGACCCTCTGGTATGCCTGGATGATCCACAAGCGCCAAAATAAGCGAGAGCATTTGGCATGCTTCTGATATACATCCCTGTGCATTAGAAAGACATTAAAGGACATGGGCACAACCTTGCCTAGTGCCATGGCGCCTATCTCAGGGCGAATAACGTTCAGCTACTAGTAAACTAGAGGTAGATCTAAGCTGAACCAACCATCTGTTATGCTCAAGTTCTCAAGGAACGAATAATTAACCTGATCACATCTTACTTGATTAAGCCCTGATGTGATAAGATTAAGAAGCTGAGTTCGTAGAGGAAATTGTGTGACCTGGCCTCTAGAATTACGACTCGATTCCTCCTTTAAAGCGAGACTGACCATGGCATATCCAGGACAGGAACGGCAAACACGGGTTATCAGACGAAGCGCCTGGAGTCTGACAATGTACACATTGATGCCATAAATTAATAACAAAATACGTCAAATTACACGCGGACAAATTAAGGGAGGCAAATTTCATAGTAAAGGATACAAAATGTTGCCGTTACACAGTATAGGTAGAGTAACACAAACTTTAACCTTGAATTAATGGCCCAAACTCACTGTATGGTCATCCATTAACGAGATGCCCCTTCCTTTAATCAACAAAACCAAACCTAAACTTAATATTCCCTAAAGTATTGTTTATGAATACTATCACGAACTCCTAGGTCCCTATATTGGTGAACGAAGCTTTTGGAAGGAACAAATCGTTGTTTACCTTGACAAAGGGTTCATGCTCATTGTGTATATCCGAATGAGCAGCGGCAGAATTTTTCCCATGAACTGTCCAGCTATTCCGCCTCTTAAGATTTCAAACATTGCTTGAAATTCTGAAAAAATGACAGTTGTGTTGTGTGATGTCAAATCACTAAAACGTTTTTATTCCATATTACGGTTGAGTAAATAACGTACTTATGGATACATAGTAGAACTATTGTCTTCAGAAGATAGATAAAAAACCAATATCGGTTAGGCATTTTAATTTTATCCTTTTAGTTAACGAAACTCATAGGTCGTGGGTTGATTACCTTCTTCATAGGTTTTTAACAATTCGGCCAAGTTGCTTTGTTTGCAGCATTCCTTCGGAGTACGACCAAGGGTGTTGCGAAGAAGTGGATTTGCAGCTACGCCAACCCTATTATTTTGAAGAGAGATGAGAAAGCGCACAGAGTTTGTGTCCCCCAGAGAGGCAGCGACGTGCATAGGCGTTTCTTTGAGGCCAGAGTTTGGATCAGATCCGCGATTCACTAGAGCCATTATCGCGGACAAATAGCGACACTCCACAGCCGAAGCGAGTAAAGATCTGCCCTCCAAATCCCACCAACAGGTTTTTATTTGTACGGTGTTCATAGCCACAAGTATATCGGCTGAATTTCGAGAATATTTTTAACTTAGTTGAAATACTGCAAGACATTAATTTTGCTATAACTCTTCCAGTATGTCTCAAACGCCCCATCAAGCACTTGAGATAAAAACCACCAAATTCTGTGGACAAACTAATTAGTTACTATACCTCATCCATAAATGAACTAGGAGACTTTTTGACAATATCGGGAGATGTTATTCAACGCCGTGTGACAACACATGGGACACAGGCTTGTTTTTAAGATTGATGGTTGCGAAAATGAAAATGAGTACTATTAAATCACCTATGCTTGCTTTATTTACTATTGCGTGCTTAATCCAGTAGTGAAACACATCGCTAACAATATTTGAGTCGCTGGACAAGCCAAGATTGTCCATTTTTAATCGGAATGGAGAACAATCTTGACCATCTTGAGGGACGAAGAAAGATGAAGTCACATGTTTTGGAGTTGGTGGTGATTCCTTAAATGTTGTAAAAACACGCGAACAGACGTATGTTTGAAATCTTTCCCAGGTTTTTCTAAGATCCCGATCATCTGTAGTTGGGTCGATAGAGGTTGGCTGCTGCATTACAAACGGTCCGCAATCTTCGTAAAGAGTTATGAAAGTTAATCCATCGACCAAATTCAGAACCAACGACTCTAGATCCGAGTCTGCGTTGCATAAAAAGGGTTGTTGTGTTATTAAAGCCAATAAAAAATGCATTTTTTAAAAATCCAAGTGCACAACCATGAGGGAGATGTTTCACTCAACCTACCAGATATACGCCCCTCAACACTTTTTTGTTTAGCATCATCTGGTGATGAAGATTTTAGCATATCACAAATTTCGCTAAAAATGGTTGACTTCGCCACGAGACCCTTTAGTAAACTTGGTTTGTGAAAGCATAGGTTGAGAATGAGTTCAACAATCAGACTGATGGAAGGACCATCGAATCGATTCCGTAACTGACTGTTTAAATCCACTGCGGTGTGTAAAACATGACCTTCAGATGTCTCAATACCTAAGAATTATTAGTAGTTCGGTTAAAAGGGGCAGTAGAAGGCGTTATAAACTCTTACAAGTAGAATATCATTAAAATATGACCGATTAATAAAAGCATTTGTAGGTTGCAATACGCGGCAGAGGACACATACGTGCAAGCCTGGAGGAGTGACTGAAAGATCCCATATTTGGTGTAAGCAAAAAAAGCAAATACTCGAGCAACTGCTCATCTTTTAGAACGTCATTTAAGCAGTCAAAATACGCAGAGTGTTTCAGGCAGAATTTCACAATATTGTTCAAGCTTTCCAAAGCACCAAGTTTAACAATCGCATCGCGATGAAGGGATAAGGTAAGCAATTTAAAAAGCCATTGTCGAAGATCCTGTACAATTCGATTATTCAAGCCTTCCTCAGAGGACCAAAAGTCAGTGGAATTTTTGGAGTTTTGTTTGAACCAGATATCAATGTAACTTGAGAGATGACAAATAATATTCAATCCAGATCTTTGAACAAAAAAAAACGCATAAGGTTTCATTATAAGTTTTGCAAATATGTGATTGATTAAATTTTAAGCCCAAAAATATTTTACATGTTATATTCATACAGATTACAACTGCATTGAAAGCAATGCACATAACGATAAAATGATTGGCAGTTTGCTGAAAATATGGCCAATTGCATGTTTGAAGCAATAATCGCGTACTTGAGATCTTTGCTCGAAATTGTTTCTGACCCCAAAAAGTTGCATAAACTTTACATCCAAAAAGCCAAGGATCAAGTCAATAAACCTACATCAATGTGTCGTGATGAATCCTCGTCCAATTCATTAAAATGAAATCAAATAGATGACGAAAAGCGCCAACCATTTTGACGCAAATATCTCTCTTTGCACATTCATCGACAATCTTTGATCAACACAAAAATTTTCTTACCTTTAGTAGTTGCTGGGCCAGATCACTTTCGATTTTAATATCAAGGCTACATCTAGAAATTCGACGCGCAATCGCAATAAATAGTGATTCTTGGTCTGTTATGGAAGCAATGGTATCGAACGGTAAAAACTGTAGGTAGTATGTCATAACCCTGGCCGCTGTTTCAAGAATACTACTCTCCATGGATGAGTTAAGGAAGAAATTAAGCAACGGTGGAATAATACTTGAGGGAGGAAAAAGTTTCTTAAGCGAATCAGGACTTTCTGACTGTAACACGATAGCGGACAGCTGCTCCAGAGCTGCTAAATTTAGGTCTAGGTTATCATTTGCCTGAAGCAATTCCACCAAGACGCAAGATTCCATCGCTAGTTTTCGCGCAATGCTATTACCTCATATCATTAAATATAACATCTTTAAACAAGAGCAAGTTGACCGAATTTGAGAAAAAAGAAAGGATTCTATAATGCAAGTTCTTAAATTTGGCTTAGACAATAAGAAAAATGAGCTTTCTCATATTACTAATGTAACCAAAATGTTTTAAGAAATCGATTTCAGTTTGAATCAAAAACTTAGCAGAACATCGATGGATAATTGGCTAGAATAAAACGTATACATAACCAATGTTTTATGAGCAGGATTGCCATGATTACCACAATTTTTGTCATTTGGAAATAAAAGGCATTCGACATGGCTGAATAATTATATTCAGACAGATGTAGTCGAACTGAGACTATGGACCAGCCTGAAGACAAATTCAGGAAAAAAAGCAAAATGACTACTAAAGTGGCTGTCATTCATACAATTTATTACTCTGCCACTCTTCTTTTGGCTAACCTCTTCGTTTCCCGATGATTTAATACTGCGTCAGCAATTGAAACATTCGGGGCTGCAAGGGATCGTTGAAAGGAAATCAGACCTCTTTTTGCTGTAAACAGTTCAGATAATAAAGACTTCCTAGATAGTGCAGATGGCATTGAGGTGGGTTAAATTTTAAAATTTGTGTTAAGTCGATGGCGTCTCGAGACTTCCGATGGGATGGAAGAAATGGGCTAATCAGGGCAGGATACATGTATGCCAAAGAGGAAAGAGCAACTGGGTCTGGGTATGGCTCGAGGGCCGGCTCACACGTACAAGGGTCAGACAAATCCTAAAGTCACCGCAAAACGTTAGGTGATTAGAGCATTGCAGCAGTAATAAGTACAATCAGCTTAAATGTTCTGCGATAGTAATGCTATCGATCTAAGGCTACTTTATAGATATGAGGAGGATACCGGAGGCATTTAATTGACCGAAACCGATGCAGGCCTTTACTTTGTACCCACTCATTTTAGTCTCAATAGTTAAAAAGGGCAGATAGAATTATGACTTATGCAATGAGATGATGAATCTACCTTGCTACGGGATTTGCGTGTAAATGATTTTTGTAAGCTGACTAGCGTAAAATATTATCTCCGATAAAACGATCAGTTTCGTTCTTTGATATTTTGCCCCCATCATGTTATCTTGTACTCATTTTCCAAACCATTCATATTTACCTAATGCCCATAACCTTGACAGTTTAAATTCACTTGTTAATTAATCTCCATTTGAAGGGCTATCCCAAATATTCGGTCGGTCAGGCGGATAAGGCAACACACCTTTGGAGACAAAGTGATGGTTCAAATATTGATATAATGACGAACTCGTTTGGTTTTAAGGTGAGGTATTCTACCTGTGCACTGACGTGGGTTAAAGATGCGCCAATGGATTAACAGTACTGGAAAGGATATCCTCGACCTTCAGAAGCACATGCCGCGTAACCTAGTCGAGGCATTGAAAATGCGGAAACAACACGAAAAACTTGAGCTTACGTTTCTGGTACTCCAATACTAGTACCTGTATTTGAGTGACCTTGTAGAATTATCTGGCCGAGTATGCATCAATGAAAGACGCGTATTTGAAAGAATCTCATATCGGTGCATTTTCAGAATTAGACTCTGAGATTACCGATTTTGTGGAAAGGCTTAACGTTAAGACGCAGTTTGTTGTTTCCTGCTTTACCTATTTCCGTGTACAGGATGAAGTGTGTTCCCTTTGACACTTTTACTTTAGCTTTGGAACCTTCTTGATGATGTTGAAAACGCAACAAAAGCATTTCGTCTACTTGATTCGAAATCCGTTTTAAGTGCAATTGCTTGGTTAGATCGAGGAATGACATCTTCTAGTGCAAAAATCGCCTTACTTTCGCATGAACTGCAGCGTTTGCAGCTAATATTGGATTCCGAGGATAATGAGCATTTTTATCAACTTATGAACGGATTTCGAGAGATCTGTCAATTGACCGCCAATGCCCAACAAATAATGAACCTAAGGAAACTGGTTTTATTCAAGGAACGACGAGTAAGTGGCATTTTGTAGTGCATTTTTGTAATGCCAGTACGAGTCTTTCGTGGCTTTTTTGTCCTGAGTGAAATGGTTATACGTTGTGTGCTTTTTGAAATCTTCAGATTTTGGAATGCGAAGAGAAAATATACTCAACAGTTGCATTTTCAAGAAGTACTGAACTAGAAGTTAACTCGATTTATGTTAGCGACTTCGTTGGGAAAACAGCGTTTGAGTCTGCAGCACTCGTCAAGACTTACAGAAATTTCGCCAAGATATTGCATGTTAGTTTATTTTAAGAGATGTAAACTTACTTCATTCAATAATATAGCTTTTTGTTTGCTTGTAGGAAACATTTAATGAATGTCAGCATTTATTCGATGTGTACCGCAGAATGTGCGCCGTTGATAATCGGCACCTGAGCAGGCAAATATTGTCTACCAAGACTCGTCTGCTGAAAGATTATGCCAGTTTTTCCACGAAAATTGGCGAGATAATTAAACTTACATCATATTCTGAATCTTTTTACGTAGCAGCTGATTCAGTAAGTGAAAAGACTTTCCGTGCAATGCTTTCGAACTTAGATAGGAGATCACGATGATGTACTTGTGTTTTTTGCAGTTACTTGAAACTGTCGGAAACGCACTCCTTAAAGTCAGTTCCAAACTAATTCCAGATAATGCAACCACTGCGTTGGCAGCGTTGAACAATGATTTCCAAAAGTTGAGAAAACTTGCAGCCGAAATATTGGACAACATTGATTTTGTGTCAGAGCTGTTAGTGATTCTCTTAATGATGCTCTCCGTCGTTACTTAA